AGGTTGTCGGGGACTAGTAGTATGGGAATGAGTGCGGTTAGAAGGGTTTACAAAAGTCCCGTTGATCCAGAGAACTGAATGGAGCATGTTCACAATAATCGTGGAATTTTGAAATAGAGCAGTGGTCTTAGCCTTGTTGAACCACCCGTACTTACGCTGTTCTAAGTGAATACAGTTGGAAAGGTTCTGTGTGGAAAAGCATAGACTTCCCTCAGTAATGAACGATCGGTTCTCTCCTAAAGGGGCGGTTATAGTATCTCTCGCTAAATAGGGCAGATTCATACTAGAGTTGGTAGTGAAAAAGCGCGGAAAAACGGCTGCATTAAAGCGGACAGGCATAGATTTAGGAAAGGCAGACAGGATTCCCCATCTGAGTACTCCCTGAGTCGGGGTCCCCAATGCCAGGAGCAGGGTCAGGAGGTACAGAGATGTCATCTCCTTTGTTCAGGACTTTTCTTGTCAGGCGCTCCGGGACCCAGAAGGGATTTTCTTCACCCTGGGGAAAAACACACACAGCTCCCCTGGATCTGATAATAATTGGATCCGGGCCTTTCCACTGGTTAGACAGCACATCCTTCCATTTTACTAGTTCCTGTGGGTCTTTTGGCCACTGATTATGGCGATCTGCCGCTGTATGGCCTTGAGCATCCAGATTCAAAAAATTTATAGTGAAAAGTACTAGGGCTGTGGCAGTTTTTGGTGTGGGGGGTATATCCTCAATTCCCCCTTTTTGTTTAAGTAAATAGGATTTGAGTGTGCGGTTCGCGCGTTCCACAATCCCTTGACCCTGTGGGTTGTAGGGAAGGCCAGTGATATGTTTTATCCCTATGTGATGACAAAATTGAGCAAATTTTGTAGAGGTATAAGCTGGGCCATTGTCTGTTTTCAGAATCTGCGGTGACCCCCATGCGCTCCAAGCCTCAAGGCAGTGCTGGATGACATGGGAAGCTTTCTCTCCGGATAATGGGGAGGCAAAGATGACTCCTGAACAAGTATCTACAGATACATGTACATATTTCAGTTTCCCAAAAGACGAAATATGCGTCACATCCATTTGCCAAACTTGTAAAGGCCTAATACCTCTGGGGTTGATCCCAACATGAGGTGTGGGAAGGAAGCTGCAGCAGTGTTGGCAGCTAAGGACAATGTTCCTAGCTTCGGCCCTGGTTATGCTAAACCGCCTGCGCAGTGTTTCGGCCGTGACATGAAATTGCGAATGGAATTTTGAAGCTGTGGTGACAGGGTCTAGCAGGGGAAAGGCTATATTTCTGGTTGCGAGGTCTGCCAAGTGGTTGCCTTGGGTCATAGGCCCGGGAAGGCCTGAATGTGCTCTGATATGAGTTATATATAAAGGAGATTGTCTGCGAAGTAATGCTGATTGTATCTGTTTGAACAAAGTGGCTACCGGGCTGGATGCTTTAATCAGCCCGGCTACTTCTAGAGATTTGACTGCATTAACTACGTAGCAAGAGTCAGACACAATATTTAAGGGTTCAGGAAAAATTTGTAAGACCTCTAAGACTATGCGACATTCCACTATTTGTGGAGTGTCGGGCGTGTAGTCTTTTGTCACAACTTTGCCATCATGGACATAGGCACCTGTGCCTGTCTTAGACCCGTCCGTATAGACTGTTTTTCCATGAGGCAGCGGTGTTAGGCTAGTGACTCGAGGGAATACTAGGAGATGATTTTTGGCAAAGTTGATGAGGGGATGTTTTGGGAAATGATTATCAAAGGTTCCTGAAAAACTGTAAGCAAGTATGGCCCAATCATCGTTCATAGCGCATAACACTTGTATCTGTTCTACGTTGTAAGGGGTTATAATTTTAGCTGGAGTCTCTCCGAAATGTGTCATGGAGGTTTTTACTCCTCTCAACGCAAGTTTAGCTACGGCTGCCGGATAATACTCTATTGTTCTAGCCTGAGAGGCTTGGGGATGGATCCAGATCAATGGGCCGTGCTGCCATAAAACTGCTGTTGGCAATTCTGGGGTAGGAAGGACACACAACTCAAAGGGTTTATTCAATTGAACTCTATTTAATTGCGCTGTCATCAAAGCCTGTTCTACTTTGCGAATGGCTTGTACTGTCTCAGGTGTAAGGGAGCGTGGTGATGTTAGTTGTGGGTCTCCTTCTAGGGTTTTAAATAGTGGTGTCAATTCGGTGGTGGGTATTTTTAAGTATGGCCGTAACCAATTAATATCCCCTAGGAGTTTTTGAAAGTCATTTAATGTTTGCAAGTGTTTGTGTCTTATTTCAAGCTTTTGGGGGCAGATTACATCTGTGCAAATGGTGGCTCCTAGGAATTTGCTAACACTAGAATTTTGGACTTTTTCACTTGCTATAGTCAGTCCCCAAGTTTCAAGGGATTTAGTGAGATCTATATATGCTTCTTCTACTTCTGCTAATTGTGGGGAACAGAGAAGGATATCATCCATATAGTGGATGATTCTTAGTGCGGGGTAGGTCTTACGAATCGGGTCCAACGCCTGTTGTACGTACAGTTGACACATGGTGGGGCTGTTCGCCATTCCTTGAGGGAGGACCTTCCACTGAAATCTAGTATCGGTTTGCTCATGGTTAACAGCTGGTAAGGTAAAAGCAAATCTTTCCCTGTCTTTGGGGCTTAGAGGTATGGAAAAGAAACAATCTTTAATATCTATGATGAGGACTTTCCATTCTCTGGGTAAGGCAGAAAGGAGTGGAAGCCCCCGTTGTACGGGTCCAAGCATCTTCATTTGAGCATTTACTGCTCTCAGATCATGGAGCAGTCTCCATGCTCCTGATTTTTTCTTAATTACAAATATGGGTGTGTTCCATGGAGATGTGGAGGGTTCTAAATGCCCTTTTTGGAGTTGTTCTTTTACTAAACTGTGGGCTGCTTCTAATTTATCAGAGGATAGGGGCCACTGAGGAACCCATATGGCCTCCTCTGTGAGCCAAGGTATGGGTATGGCGTCTTCAGCGGCCCCTATGAAAAACCCAGGCCATGACGGTCATTCTTTACTTTGGGTAGGATGGACTCTGTGCGTCCCTGTTGGTGTTTCCCCAGCCCTTTACCAGGGATGTATCCCATATCCATCATCATGCCTCGGGCTGGGGTGGAGTATTCATTAATGAGTTTGAGGCCTAAGCTTCTCATGACATCTCTTCCCCATAAATTGACTGGTAGAGGGAGTACATAAGGGGTGACTATACCTTCTTGTCCTTCAGGGGCTCGCCACTTCAGAGGTTTGGCGCTAATTGAAGGACTTGAAGCGTACCCTAAACCCTGTAGCAAGTGTGAGGACTGGGTCACGGGCCACTGGGGGGGCCACCAGGTTGCATAGATAATACTTTTATCTGCTCCAGTATCTAGGATTCCCTCAAAGCTTTTTCCTTCTATTTGAAGTGTCAACTTTGGTCTGTCTGCCAAATCTAACACTAAAAAGGCTAAGTTTCTATCTGAGGAGCCGAAGCCTCCTTTTCTTCTCTCCGCGCCGGCAGCAGGATAATTGGCGTGGAGACTGGGCAACACTAAAAGCTGGGCTATGCGGTCTCCCGGGGATATGGGATAGATTCCTCTGGGGGCGGAACACATGATTTTTACTTGTCCCTCATAGTCTTGATCTATCACTCCAGGATGAATTATGAGGCCTTTCAAAGCTGCAGATGATCGTCCTAAGAGTAGCCCTACAGTATTTGGTGGCAGGGGGCCTTTAAAATCTGAAGGGATAGGTTGGACCCCCTTCTGTGGGGTTAACACTATTCTGGTGGTGGCACGGATGTCCAGTCCCGCGGAACCTGGAGTGGCTCTCCTTGCGGAGGCTGGCTGCTCCCGAAGGACACTTGCGTGCTGGTCGCCCCATATATTTGCAGGCCCTGGCGGCGGGGGCCCCTCTGCGCGTTTTTTGACTGATCTAATGGCTTTCCCTCTATGTCTTTAATAGATCTGCACTCATTTGCCCAATGCCTGCCCTTTTTACACTTTGGGCATACTCCAGGGGTCTTTTGGGTTGATTGCTCTGTCAACGGGCTTCTGCATTCTCTTTTTATATGGCCTAGTTTCCCACATTGGAAACACTTGATGTTTCTGCTGGTGACCTTAGCTTGTTTATGGCTTTGTAATATGGCTGTGGCTAAGCCTGCGTTAGTGAGTGGTCCCCCTATCTCTCTACATGCTTTTAGCCAAGCTTGCAACCCTTTCTGCTTCCAAGGCGTTATAGCCAACGTACATTCTTTGGTGCACTGCTCAAACACTAATTGCTCTACTAAGGGCATAGCTTGTTCCTGATCTCCAAATATTCTGCCTGCAGCCTCCATCATGCGAGCGACAAAATCAGAGAATGGTTTGCTTGGCCCCTGAATGATTTTTGTTAAGTTACCTGACACTTCTCCCTTATTGGTGAGGGCTTTCCAGGCTTTGGCAGCGCACGCGTTTATTTGTGCATACACTTGTAGTGGAAAAGCCGTCTGATTGGCTACCCACTGTCCTTGCCCTGTCAACATGTCATATGTCCAATGACTTGCAGGCGGCCCTTCAGCTGCGTTCGCACGCGCTTGAGCCATACTAATGTCATGCCACAAAGCTTTCCATTCTATGTACTGCCCCATGCTGGTGAGGCATGCTTTGGTCATATACTGCCAGTCTGCTGGTGTCATGGTTGTTTCCGTGAGTCTCTCAATCTGTGCTATGGTGTAGTTAGCACTGACTCCATAAGCTCGAACTGATTCTGCTGACTCTTTGACTTGTTTTCGGTTTAACGGTTGGTGGTTGCGCACACCATTGTCTTCAAACACAGGAAACATCTGTCTGAGTGCTTGAAGAGTATCTGGGTGGCAAAAGGAGAGCGCGCCGTCTGGTGGTGGCACGGATGTCCAATCCCGCGGAACCTGAAGTGGCTCTCCTTGGGGGGCCTGGTTGTTCCCGAATGACACTTGCGTGCTGGTTGCCCCATATATTTGCGGGCCCTGGTGACGGGGGCTCCTCTGGGCGTTTTTTTGCAGTTCTAAGGGTTTCCCTTCTATATCTTTAATAGACCGGCACTCATTGGCCCAATGCCTGCCTTTCTTACACTTAGGGCACAACCCAAGGGTCTTTTGGGTTGTTCTGAAGCTGGGCTCCTACACTCTCTCTTTATATGTCCTAATTTCCCGCATTGAAAGCATTTGATACTTCTGTTAGTGATCCTGGCTTGTTTGTGGCTCTGTAATATGGCCGCGGCTAGGCCCGCATTGGTGAGTGGCCCTCCTATTTCTCTACAGGCTTTCAACCAGGCATGTATCCCTTTTTGTTTCCAGGGTGTTATCGCCTGTCTGCATTCCTTGGTACATTGTTCAAATACTAATTGCTCCACTAGGGGCATTGCTTGTTCCTGATCTCCAAATATTCTGCCTGCGGCCTCCATCATACGAGCGACAAAGTCAGAAAATGGCTCGCTCAGCCCCTGAATAATTTTTGTCAAATTGCCTGATACTTCTCCTTTGTTGGTGAGGGCTTTCCATGCCTTGGCGGCGCACGTGTTTATTTGTGCATATACCTGTAAGGGGAAGGCGGTCTGGTCGGCTACCCACTGTCCTTGGCCCGTCAGCATATCATATGACCATGCAGGCTGTCCTTCGGCCGCGTTTGCGCGTGCCTGGGTCATGCTGATATCATGCCACAATGCCTTCCATTCTATGTATTGCCCCATACTAGAAAGGCATGCCTTAGTTACATATTGCCAGTCTGCGGGTGTCATGGCTGTCTCTGTTAATCTCTCAACTTGTGCTATGGTATAGTTAGCACTGACTCCATAAGCCCGAACGGATTCTGCTAACTCCTTAACTTGTTTATGGCTCAGGGGCTGGTGAGAGCGTACACCGTTATCCTCAAATACAGGAAACATTTGTCTAATTGCCTGAAGAGTATCTGGGTGGCAAAAGGAGAGTGCGCCACTCACGTAAGGTGGCGGGGCAAAGGGCGTCGGGGGACACCCTGCTTTCATTTTTTCCTTGGTCCGCTTTTCAACTTTGCTGGTTCCCTTACTTCTACACTCTGCGGTTTTATTTTCTTCCCCTTCCTCTGCGGACGTTAATTCCTCCTCAGATTCCCTATTGGAGAGTTGGAGGTCCCTCAACTCTTTCCAGGGGTATTTACTATTTTCTCCGAGGCGATCGTCACTCGCTTCTCGGGGCTCTTTCGCTTTTGCCCTAGGCGGGCTTTCTCCCTCACTCTGAGGTTTCTTTACCTTCGTTTTTGTGGCCTTTTTTCGGCCGCGCGCGCTCTCTGTTTCCCGTTCCGTTTCTGACATGCTCTCTTGGATATCTGTCAATGCTCTCTGACCTTCTTTTATTACCTTTTCACATCTCTCATCTTGCAGACAAGCTCTAATCAGTTTCCAGAGGGGCCTGGTGCCTCCCCTCAGGCTACCCTCCTCCTCCTCTCTATCAAGATCTTTCCCCAGTTTGTCCCAGCTCGGGATTGAGAGGGACCCTGAACAAATGAACCAGGGGGCCACACGGTCTATCTCCTTCACAAAAGATCCTAAGACTTTGCTGGAGACCTTCAAGTTTCGCTCTTTGAGAGCTGTCTGCAGCGCCGTGACTAATGACGGTGCATTCCCCATGGTGCCTCCTTATTTACAGAGAACCATCAACCATCATCCTAAAAAGCAGGGGCCTCTCGGAACTTACCCCTCCGGGCTTTCTTCTGACCTGCAGTTCTGAATCCTCTCCAGATGTCTGAAGGGTCCTCCCTGTGCCGGTGATGTTCTGGTTCCCGGGTTTCGGCACCACTTGTCGCGTGCCCTGTCCTCGCCGGCAAGAACAGCATGCAACAACAGCAGGATTCTTCTGCAGAAAGCTTTATTCTTCAGCTCTTTGTGAAACAAATGAGTTGGGCAGGACCCAGAGGGGAAGGAGAGGCTTGCTTATATAGTTCTCATGCTCTGACCTGGTTGGTGCGGCTCCATATGCCTTATTAGCATAACCATTTGGTGGGTCTCATTGGTCCTTATGCCAAGGCGCAATTAGCATGTAGTTTAGTGGTGTGGGATGATTTGTCATTAGGAAGTTCGGGGCCTTCCGGCTGCCCTGCATGGGGCGCTATTTTCTGAGCGCGGCTGCCAACAGCTGTCCTAAAATCTTCTTAGTGTGTTGTAAGTGATTTCAAAATTGTCACCCAACCCTATCATGAGTTTTCCAACCCAAACTGGGAGGAGTTCTGCATATACTTCATTCTTGTGTGTTTCTTCGACTCAGCTCTCAGGAACCTTGCAAGATCATATTTAATTTCACTTCAGAATTATTATTTGGGAGAAGGGTCTGAGTCCCCATGCATTATTTCTTTCTTATCCTGGGTGAGACTGACCAGACCACATGGAAAGGCCTTAGAAGTGATGTGAGAGATTGGCTATGCCAAATGAAACAACAAGGATTTCTGGGGTTTCAGCAGAAAACCCTTTCTTGAGTGAGATTGGAAAGGACAGGATGTGTCTGTTATGCTTGGGGGGTTCTAGCAGAAGGTTTGACTCAGGCTGCCTTTGGGCAGGGCTGGCTAGCCTGCAGGCCCTGCTTCAGGGCCCTCCACCACCATAAGCTGGGCAAAGCTGCCTGGCCATCAATACAGCAGGTGAGGCCTTCCCCAGCTGAAGTGCTCAGTGGTTTGCATGGTGCCTTTTAACTATTGGCTGCTCCAAAATTAGATGCTGAGTTGGCTCAGCCAGGTAGAAGTCTTGTGCTGTAAAGGTCCCAGCTGAGATGCACTCTGCCCCCTTGCTTTCTAAGATTACTTCATGTCCATTGCCAATGTTTTCCATGCACAGAACCGGGCAGTTCGTTTTCCTGTGGGAGGACTTAGCCCTAGGGCTCATCTATGGAAGAGGCAGAGGTTGGCAGTTTACCCAGGGCTTGGGTTTTAATTCAGATTAATTATTTTCTCTTTGTGTCAGGGTCTCCAGAAGTCCTTTTTGCGCTCTCTGGCTTCTTACTGGATATTCCAAAAGGCTGCCCCCTTTGACAGGAGGGCCACATCCTTGGCATGGCACCCAGCTCACCCCAGCACCCTGGCTGTGGGCTCCAAAGGGGGAGATATCATGCTCTGGAACTTCTGCATAAAAGACAAACCCATCTTCATTAAAGGGGTGAGCAGTCCCTGTGCCAGACAATAGTGCTGAAGAACTATTTGTTGAAGGAATGAAGTCATCCATTAACAAGATGATTGGGACCAAAGTATTTTCAAACAAGTAAATGGTGATGATACTCGAATCTTTGTTGAGTGCCTGCCCTTCAAATGTTAGAAAGTATAAAATATTGACCCCCTCTACCCCGCCCCAGTAAGTCACCACTAGAATCGAATCTAAGCCCCTCCTTATCTCTTGACCTCACCTTGTACCACTTTTCCTCACTTTCTAGGCTTTAACCACACTAGTGATTTCTATGCTGGTAGCAGGGTCTTTGTACTTGCTCTTCCCTTTGACTGGATGGAGTGCTCTTGTCTGTGGTTTTCTCATGGCTGGCTCCCTCTTCCCAGTCAGGTCTCAGCTCATACTCTCCTTCAAAGAGCTTTCACTGCCCACTGTCTATAAAGTAGTCTCTACCACATCCAGTCACTCCCTTTCTCATCCCTCTGCTCCACTTTCCCCCACAGTGTTTATCAATGTCTGAAAGTTTTACTCATTCATATTTCTTTGCCCACTGGAAGGTAAGCTCCATGAAGAAAGGCAAGGACCTTCCTTGTCTTTCTGGTGTCCTCAGTGCCTAGAGCAATGTTTGGCCTAGATATTTGTTGAATGGATGAGGGGCTTGAAGTGTAACTGGGTAGATGGCATGCATACATACAAGATAACTGTAGCATTTTGTTACAGGACATGAGAAGGAAGAACCTCTTGCAAATTAGGGTCAACAGAGAAGGCTCCCTGGATGAGTGAGGAGTGAGGAAGAACAGTATTCAGATAAATGGAGAGAAGAAGAAAAAAGGCAATGTGCATTTGGGGCAAGGCTTGGTATAGAGCCTTTTAGGGATGGTCTTAATTGTGCTACTGTTTATTGCCAATTGCTGAGGGGAAAGGCTGTTGGCCCCTTCATCCAAGAAAAGACCCTTAGCTTGCCCATCTGGGAGCTGACATTGGAGGGTTGTACTGTGAAAAGTGATGCTCTCTATTCAATAAAGAGCTCTCTGTTCAAGCTCTTTGCTTCTCCATTCATCTGTCTGGGTTAAGTGTAGGAACTACAAACTCACACACCAAAGGAAGCCAAACAGATAAAAGAGTGATGTAGGGTGCTTGGGTCAGTAGCAAACTAGAAATGTTGATGTACAAGAATCTAGGTCTCATGATATCAGAGTTTCTTTATCTGTAAAAAAAACAGTTTCTTTACACTGTTGTGGAGATTGGTGTGGGCACTTGAACTTTGTGACCAGCAGGGAGCTAGGTTGGAACAGAAGGCTGTGGTGATCTGGAGAACTGTTTTTACTCCCAGATACCGACAGCTGAAAGTTGATTTGAGACCAGTGACCGGAGACGCAGCAGAGCCTCATGTTGCTTTAGTCATCTGATTTTGGCTCTGACCTCTACATCTATCAAGCCCTTGGCAAGGGAACACATACTACATTTTCAAAATAAAGATAATTTTTTTAATTCTCATAAAAATGATCTATGCTTATCATAAGAAATGCAAACAATGCAGAAAAAAGTATAAAGAATAAAGTATTACCTGAAATCCCCATTTTGGGCATCCTTCTGTATACACATGCCCATACTTCTACTTAGATTATTACATAAGTATTCTATCCTAGAATCTGTTGTATTTTACTTATTATATTAGATATTCTAGTTTAATCATATCATACCAGATGACGACCACTTAATATCCTATAATTTCCATTTTTGTAATGCCTTTGGTTTTGGTATCAGGGTATTGCAGAGCTCATAAAAAGAATGGGGAAGTATTCCTTCTTCTTGTATTTTCTGGAATAATTTGTGTAGAATTGGTACTATTTCTTCCTTAAAATTTTCATAGGACCCACAAGTGAAACCATCTGGGGCTGGACTTTTTTTGTTGGAAGGTTTTTAAGTATATATTCAAATTTTTTAATCAATACAGGTCAATTTAGGTTATTTTTTTCTTCTTGAATAAGCTTGGTAGTTTGTCTTCCAAGTAATTTGTCTAAGTTGTCCATTTTATCTAATTTATTGAATTTAGTGTTATAAAGTTGTTCATAGTATTCCATTTTATTATCATTATTATTATTTTAATGTCTTTAGGATCTATAGTGATGTCCCCCTCACATTCTTGATATTGGTAATTTGTGTCTTCTCTCTTTTTCCTGATCAGTCTTCTGTTTATCAATTCTATTGATACTTTCAAAGAACCAGCTTTTAGTTTCACTGATTTTCTCTGTTGTTGTTGTTTTTTTTTTTTTCATTGACCTTGCTGTATTTTTTTCTCCCCTATGTCTACCTTGGGTTTAACTTGTTCTTCTTTTTCTAGTTCCAAAGGTGGAATCTTAGATTTTTGATACCTTTCTTCTTTTTTGATATAACTAATGGAGTAAATTTCCCTCTAAGTATTTTTTTAACTGCATCTCCCAGGTTTTGTTTTTATTTTCATTCAGTTCAAATTATTTTCCAAAACCTTTATGATATCTTCTTTGACCTATGGGTTATTCTAAAAAGTGTTGAATTTCCAAATATTTGGGGATTGTTGAGGTATCTCTATTACTGATTTCTAGTTAAGTTGTGAACAGAAAACATTAATATGATTCCAGTTTTTTTACATTTTAAACCTGTTTTATGGCCCAGCATGTGGACTTAGAGAATGTTCCATATGCAATGAAAATAATTGTATTCTGCTGATTTGGGGTGGATTATTCTCTAAATGTCAGTTAGGTTAAGTTGGTCGATAATATTGTTCAAATATTCTATATCCTTACCGCTTTTTTGTCTTTTATCACTTACTGTGAGAAAGGAATATTGGATCTCCTATTAAAAGGATGGCTCTATTTTCCTTTAGTTCTTACTTCAAGCATTTGGAAACTGTTCTGAGGTGCTGTCATGTTTAGAATTATGTTCTTTTGATGAACCGACCCCTTTGTCTTTGTGAGATGTGTCCTTTTATCCCTGGTAATATTTCTTGTTCTGAAATCTTCTTTGATAGTAATATAGACGCTCCAGCTGCCTTTTGCTTAGTGGTTGCATGGTATGTCTTTTTCCAACCTTTTATTTTTAACCTATTTGTGTATTTATATATAAAATGAGTTTCCTGTAAACAGTATTAAAAAAAAATCCAACCTGACAATCTCTGCCTTTTAATTGGAGTGTTTGACCATTTAAATTTAATATGATTATACATATGATTCTGTTTAAATCTAGCATCTTGTTATTTTGATCTTTCTCTGTGTCTCATCTCTTTGTTCACTTTCCTTTTTATTTTGCCTTCTTTTTGGTTGCGTACTTTTTATAACTCCATTTTATCTTCACTGTTGGATTATTGGTCATACTTTTCTCTTAGTGGTTGCTCTTAGGTTTACAATATACTTCTTTAACTTATCATAATGAACCTTCAAATAATATTATACCACTTCAGGTGTATTGTAACAATCTTACAACTATATATTTACCTCCATTTCCTTCCTTCTCTCCTAGGTCTACATTTTACTTCTAACTATGTTATAAACCCCACAATATATTATTACTTTTGCTTTATACAGTCAGTTGTCTTTTTGCTTTGTTAAATCTCTATTGAGAGATCATTGATATATTATAAACTGCCCAGAGTTAAGGTGTACAATTTTGATGAGTTTTGACACATGTATACAACTGTGAAACCACCAAAATTAAAATTATGAGCCTATCCATGACCCCCACATGCCCCTTTGCAATTCATCCCTTTCTACCCTCTGTCCTATATCCTAAAAACCAGTGATCCAACAAAATGGGCATAGAGGGCAAGTACCTCAACATAATAAAGGCCATATATGATAAACCCACAGCTAACATCATACTGAACAGCAAGAGGCTGAAAGCTTTTCCTCTGAGATAGGGTACAAGACAGGGATGCCCACTCTCCCCACTGTTATTCAACATAGTACAGGAGGTCCTAGCCACAGCAGTTAGACAAAACAAAGAAATACAAGGAATCCAGATTGGTAAAGAAGTTAAACTGTCACTATTTGCAGATGAGGTGATATTGTACATAAAAAACCCTAAAGACTCCACTCCAAAATGACTAGAACTAATATCGGAATTCAGCAAAGTAGCAGGATACAAAATTAACACACAGAAATCTGTGGTTTTCCTATACACTAACAATGAACTAATAGAGAAATCAGGAAAACAATTCCATACACAATAGCATCAAAAAGAATAAAATACCTAGGAATAAACCTAACCAAGGAAGTGAAAGACCTATACCCTGAAAACTATAAGACACTCTTAAGAGAAATTAAAGAGGACACTAACAAATGGAAACTCATCCCATGCTCCTGGCTAGGAAGAATTAATATAATCAAAATGGCCATCCTGCCCAAAGCAATCTACAGATTTAATGCAATCCCTATCAATTACAAACAGCATTCTTCAATGAACTGGAACAAATAATTCTAAAATTCATATGGAACCACCAAAGACCCTGAATAGCCAAAGCAATCCTGAGAAGGAAGAATAAAGCGGGGGTGTTCTCGCTCCCCAACTTCAAGCTCTATTACAAAGCCACAGTAATCAAGACAATTTGGTACTGGCACAAGAACAGAGCCACAGACAAGTGGAACAGAATATTCCAGACATTAACCCAAACATATACAGTCAATTAATAGATGATAAAGGAGCCATGGACATAGAATGGGGAAATGACAGCCTCTTCAACAGTTGGTGTTAGCAAAACTGGACAGCTACATGTAAGAGAATGAAACTGGATCACTGTCTAACCCCATACACAAAAGTAAATTCGAAATGGATCAAAGACCTGAATGTAAGTCATGAAACCATAAAACTCTTGGAGGAAAACATAGGCAAAAATCTCTTGGACATAAACAGCGACTTCTTCATGAACATATCTCCCCCAGCAAGGGAAACAAAAGCAAAAATGAACAACTGGGACTATATCAAGCTGAAAAGCTTCTGTACAGCAAAGGACACCACCAAGAGAACAAAAAGGCATCCTACAGTATGGGAGAATATATTCATAAATGAAAGATCCAATAAAGGCTTGACATCCAAAATCTATAAGGAGCTCACGCACCTCAACAAACAAAAAGCAAAAAAATCCAATTAAAAAATGGGCATAGGAGCTGAACAGACACTTTTCCAAAGAAGAAATTCAGTAGGCCAACAGACACATGAAAAGATGCTCCACATCGCTAATCATCAGAGAAATGCAAATTGAAACCACAATGAGATATCACCTCACACCAGTAAGGATCGCTACCATCCTAAAGACAAACAACAGCAAATGTTGGCGAGGTTGTGGAGAAACAGGTACCCTCCTACACTGCTGTTGGGAATGTAAGCTAGTTCAACCATTGTGAAAAGCAGTATGGAGGTTCCTCAAAAAGCTCAAAATAGACATACCATTTTACCCAGGAATTCCACTTCTAGGAATTTACCCTAAGAATGCAGCAGCCCAATTTGAAAAAGACAGATGCACCCCTAGGTTTATCGCAGCACTATTTACCATAGCCAAGAAATGGAAGCAACCTAAGAGTCCATCAGTAGATGAATGGATAAAGAAGATGTGGTACATGTACACAATGGAATATTATTCAGCCATAAGAAGAAAACAAATCCTAGCATTTGCAACAACATGGATGGAGCTAGAAGGGGTATTATGCTCAGTGAAATAAGCCAGGCAGAGAAAGACAAATATGAAATGATTTCACTCATATGTGGAGTATAAGAACAAAGAAAAAACTGAAGGAACAAAACAACAACAGAAACACAGAACCCAAGAATGGACTAACAGTTACCAAAGGGAAAGGGACTGGGGAGGATGAGTGGGAAGGGAGGGATAAGGCAGGGGGAAGAAAGGGGGCATTACGATTAGCATGTATAATGTCTGGCGAGGCACAGGGAGGGCTGTGCAACACAGAGAAGACAGGTAGTGATTCTACAGCGTCTTACTATGCTGATGAACAGTGACTGTAAAGGGGTTTGTGAAGGGGTCTTGGTGATGGGGGGAGTCTAGTAAACATAATGTTCCTGATGTAACTATAGATTGATTAGACCTAAATAAATGAATGAATGGATAGATAGATAGATAGATAGATAGATAGATAGATAGATAGATAGATAGATAGATAGATAAAAAGAACAAACACAACTAACCCTTGGTTAGCATAGATCTCAGCTGGTTGAAGATTATCTCATTAGCAGCAAGCGTTTGGCCGCCCATGGGCACCATGTTTTATGGAGGGAATGACAAGTGCCAGTTAGTATGTTGCGTGAGTTAAGCAGTTGTGTAAGAGACCTTACAGAGGTCCTTGAGGCTGGGGTAGCAGCCTGTGGAATAAGGAGGAGCCCTAGAGGATATAAAGTTTTTCAAACAATGCCAACAAGCACTTAATAAGGTTGTATTATTGTGTTACCATGATTATTTTCATCATTATTGTCTGAGAGGAGTAGGAAGGAACTCAGATCTGACTCCTGCCCTCCTATTCCTGCCACTGTTCCAAGCTGAAACTCTTCTGACAAGAGGACGTGCAATAAACAAACAGTGGTACATACACACAGTGGAATACTCAGCAATAAATGGGATGAGCTGTACATACACACAGCAACTTGGATGACTCTCAGGGGCATTATGCTGAATGAAATGAAAAAAGCCAGTCTCAAAAAAGACTGTATACCATATGACTCATTTATATGATAGTCTATCAAAGGCAAAGCCATAGTGATGGAGATCAGTGGCCTCCAGGGGGCTAGGAATGGGGAGAGAGCATGACCACACCAGGAGAGCATGGGGGTGTTTTTTGTGGGGTTGGAACTGGTCTGCATCCTGATTTTGGTGGTGGTTATTCACATCTATATATTATGTGCTAAAATTCACAGAATTGTATACCAAAAACAGCTAAATGTATATTAATTTAAAAAATTTTTAATTAGAACTAAAACTTGAAGAAATAAAGAACATTGTGGAGAGCCACTTAGTGTCTAGGCATCTAAGCTGGCCGGACCCAAGTGCTGCTGGATGGCCTTTCTGTTCATGCAGAGTAAATGAGCCCAGGCCTCATCCTCTTCCTGGGCCACCACTCACTGGCTTTTCTCTTCCTGTGTTAGATTGGAGCTGGAGGGAGCATCACTGGGCTGAAGTCTAACCCTCTCAATACCAACCTGTTCTTCACCTCCTCAATGGAGGGAACAACTTAGCTGCAGGACTACAGGCAATACTATCCGAGTTTTTGCCAGCTCAGGCACCTGCAAGTGAGTAGCTTAAGTAGTAGGGGAAAAGGCTTCTAGGCTCTTGGTGTAGCTCTGGCGAGAACATTTCTTTTACCCAAACCTGGCTCAGGGAGGAAAGGAAAGGTGTTAGCCACTTTGCATCCTTCCATCTCTTAACTCTTCAGCTGCTTACTCTGGTCCAGGTAGGTTACTGCTTTGGGGAGGTGCTCTGGAGCCTCGGCTCTTCTCAGCAAGAAAAGGTTTTCAGCAAGTCATTCCTATATTAGGTTAGACCTTGATCTCACTGGACAAGTCAACATGGAGATGGCTGAGAAAGCCACTTAAAAGTCTGAAATAGAAACTAAGAAGTTAAGGCTTCATTCCCTACATTCTCTGGGGTCTAATGGCCCGACCAGTCCCCTGATGGAAGTTTAAGAATAGAACTGTGTCCATAAAGCACTCTGGACTCCCAAATAGCAAGTGGCTGGAGAAATTACAAAATGCTTGTCATTTCTAGCCAGAGACATAATGCTAACTGTTCCATAAGGAATCAAGGGTATGGGGATCTGACTAGTACTGAATGTTACCCTGGGCTGCCCCACAGGGATAAGAGATACACAGGTAGGACAGGTGACAGGATAGACTCAGCTCCATGTTATTCTTCTACAGGAAGCTCTCTGAAAGATATTTATAGGAGATGCAAAGGGCAGTACACCAAAGATTCAAGGATTTGAGGGAAAAAATGTGAATCTGAGCTCCTCTGGCTGGGTAATGGGATCCCTGAAGCACCTCTTGTACCCAATCCCTTCGTCCTCATGTAGTCTCAGGAACAAAAGAGCAAGCAGAGCTGGGTATGTATGCTGCTTTCCCTCATGCTCAGAAGGGGGCAGAAGCTCCTTCCCAGCCAGCCATGAGGAACACAGTGGGCAGTCCCTGTTCGTCTGTCATCTCCTTTGGCCCAAAGGATGGACAGTAAAGGGAGAGAGCAATACATGAGTCTTCCTCAGAACCCAGGACTGTGGGGACTTGCCTTATGGTTGAGCTGCTTCAGGGGTTCTCAGGAGCTGAGGAACCCGGGCCCAGCAGTACCTGGACAAACTTAGGGGCCCCATCACCCCCATACCATCTGGGTTGTAGACAAGTCTGAGTGTTCCTCACTGGGGGGGTGGTCCATGGCAGGACAGTTATTCGTTCAACAAATACTGATTAGACATCTATGTTGCCTCTGTCCCCAAGAATCTTACAGCACAGTCTTTCCCTTCAGCTTCTGGTTTTGCAGCCTGGATGTGTCAGCCAGAAGCCAAGTGCTGGTCACCAGAGACAGTGTAGGCCATGTGACCCTGCTGAACATGGATGGCAGGGAGGTGTGTTCTCTGGAGCCCAGGCCCTTCCATCCCTTCCCTTACCCCCAGCCTTGGTTCTGCACCCCACCTGAATTGAACCCTTCTCTGCAGTTTTGGAATCTAAGGATGCACAAGAAGAAAGTGACGCACATGGCCCTGAACCCATGCTGTGATTGGCTCCTGGCCACAGCCCCTGTAGATCAAACAGTGAAAATATGGGACCTGCGCCAGGTTAGAGGAAAATCCAGCTTCCTCCACTCACTGCCACATGGTCATCCTGTCAATGCAGGTGTGATACATTAGACCTCATTCTTCCTGCAGACTCTGCCTATGCAACTGCTTCTGGGGTTTTCCCTTCTAGTTTAGAAACCACTAGGTCAAACCTTCACCTTGATAGCATCAACCAAGTTGGTATCTTGGTATCTTTTACTCTAGCTGCCCCGATCAGCTGCTTTATTTCTAGAATGTTTTTGTTCACAGCCCAATTTACCTCCTCTCTTCCACCCTGTGTAGAAAGGAGGGTGCCCCAGCAAGAGGCCTGTGACAGCCAGGAAAACTGGGGGGCCTGTGGCTCCTTCAGCTCAGGAGCTTTTCCCTTGCCAGCTTACTTCAGTCCTGATGGAACCCAGCTTCTGACCACTGACCATAAGAGTTAGGTTTGAGTTTACTCTGCCTCCTAATGGGACTGCCCTCCAAGCCTGATCCCGCACCCTCACCGACACTTCCAGCACCCATCAAGGTAGGTGATGGAGGGAAGGGAGCTGTGATCTTGGGGATAGATCAGGTCTGCCCAGGGAGAGGGCAGATATGGCAGCTTTTGATCCCATATGTCTTCCTGCACTGAAACAAAGCACTGTCATCCCCTGGCTCTCTCTGCTCCTTCTGTCCCACTTCTGCAATCGCATTTTGCTGGGTCTTAGATCTCTGATAAGCTGTTTTCCTGAGTCTTTTTGGCCTAGCCCTCAGCCCTGACCTCACTGTGGGCATTTTCTAAGATCCTGACACTATTCCAGGTACCTGTGTGCTGTTGATCCATGAGCAAACTGTGGCCTTCTTCTTAATGGTGTCTAGCCTCAGTCCCTGAGTCTTGTGATTCCTTCCTGCCCTTGCCCCCAAGCGGCCTGAACTCTTCAGTTCTGCTCCGCTGCCTTATGTTCTCATCTCAAACCACAGGCCCTCTTCACACCTCCAGGTTTCCTGCCTGTACTTCTTCAGTCAGTATAGCACAGAGGTGGGGACACCAGCTTCAGGCAGGCAGACCACTGGGATACAATCCGTGAGCGATTATTTACATTTTGGATCTTTGTTTCCTCCTCTATAGAGAATAGTAGCTACCTGACAGGGTTGTAAGGATGAGTCAGTACACCGAAAGCACAGGGTTGTAAGGATGAGTCAGTACACCGAAAGCAAGCACCATGCCTAGCGCCTAGTAAACTCGGTATCTAGTGATGATTTAGAATTAGAGTGGCTCCCATTTACTTCAGGTCAAATCCAAGCCCTTAATAACATCGAGTCGTTCTCCAGTTACTGTTGTCATTGACCTATCTGTCCTCTTCTCCCACTTAATATCCAGCCAGGACAATTTAGCTTCCCAGGTGTGACTTGTGACTTATTTCCAAGCCATTACATGTACCACTCTTTCCTTCCTACTAACCATGTCTTTCCTCTGTCAAAACTTCCTTGAGAAGTTTTCTTAGGAAAATCCCATCTAGTTCTGTCATTCCAATAACTGCCAGATTTGTGAGTGGAGTAATCTGGGGACATAGGTTTCCTCCCCTTTTTCAGACAAGGGCCATTCTCTACTCAACTCTTCATCATCCATGTTGATGGAGGAGGGTAGTAGCAGACTCACTTCATAACTTATGTCCTGTTTGGTTTTGATTACCAGAGGCCTTTTACTGGTAACTTGTTGTAGGCTTAGGTTGACATTAAAACATTTATTAGTTGATATAATCTCAGGAAATGCAAAAGAGAGAAAAGGCCTGAAGGTGTGTGTCCTAAGGGCCAAGGAGTCCAGCTGGGGATTAAACATTTGCAATGGTGGGCACATATGCAAGTGATGGCTATTATAGTTTCATGTGGGTCTTACCTCTGTTATTAAGCAGTTGACAATTATATTAACCATTTTGTTGGAGGTCTCTCTTGAGAGTGTTCTGCATTTATTTTTGTGACCAGCCTTTCCATCTCCTAGGCAACCTGGCCATCGGTACAACCTCATTGTGGGCCGATACCCAGATCTTAATTTCAAAAGTGGTACATCCCATGAATTAAGGACAATCGATGTGTTTGATGGAAGCTCAGGGAAGATGATGTATTAGCTCTATGACCCAGAATCTTCTGGTATCATTTCAGTAAGGCTTGGGCCCTCAAGTAATGATGGGAAGAAGCAGGGATTCAACCTACTTTATTGACCAAAAATGACCAGAAATTAAGTCCTCTGTACCCTTTTCCCAATATCTTCACCCCTCCCTCATGCTTATCCCCTTATCTCTGCAGCTCAATGAATTCAATTCCATGGGGGACATGCTGGCGTGAGTGAAGTAGGTTGTATCTCAGACTGGCCAAGCCCAACCCTACTCCCAAAGGTTCAGTGCAGGCTAATCTCAGCTTAGCCCTGCCACAGTCACCCCAGGGTAGCAGTCAGTCAAGAAGACAGCCAGGAGACTGTGAACCCTTCAGCCTGGGCCCTCTATCCCTCCTACTTTATCCTGTTCATGGCAATGCCTGCTGTTGTCCAGTCTCCTGGTATTTCCTTCCTGAGTCCCAGGTTCCCTGAGCCAGCCTCAAGCTCTCAGAGACTGATAATGGAAGATGCAAGTCAGACTGGTCTCACTCCTCCTAGGTTATCACATTCTCATTTGGAGCCAGGAAGAAGCTGGGATGTGGAAATGAGACACTCCTAAAGGTGTGGGCCAAGAGAGGGTTTGGAACCACATGCCAACAAGTCCCATGAGAAGACGCGGCTATGTGTAAAGGGCCAAAGGTATCCAAGTCTTAGGGTTGGAGCAGGAACACCAGGGTACGTGACACTATGGGGCTGGGACACGTTACTGCTCTGGACTTAGCTCCAGAAACCTGCATAGCTGGTGACCCAGCTACCCCAAGGGTCCCTTCTGTATCTAGCCTGAAGCCAAGCTTCTCCTGGAGCCAAGGTACTTTTCTCCTGTCTAACGTACAGTGGCAGAGTGATTAGGTAGTGGTTTTTGATTTGTGCTCACTACTGACATGGCCAATAAAACTACCCAACTGAGCTTGTGAGTGCATCTTCTAGCATTGACCTGGTCAAAGGGCTCCTTGGAGCCTCCAAGTGAAGAGGCACGGAAACAGCACTAGAAGTCCAAAACTTACATTTTCTGGACGCTGCCTTATTCCTATTCTGGACCACAGTTAAGACCTATCCAGCTCTCAACCTGTTTTTACCTCAGGTGCCTGGAGGCCCCAGCCCAGCTGAGGGATTGTAGTTTCATGACTGTGTCCCACAATTCACTTCCCTATCATCTACACCCCCATCCCTTCCCAAGTACAACCCCCCTTCTGGTCTGCTCAAGCTGCAGGGGTGACAGATACCCAAAGCAGTATGTCTGATGCTGACAGTGGCTTCAGCTGGACAAAGGAAAACTTGGCTGACTGGGTGTTGGGTGATCTGGGTCCTTGGTGCCAATGTTTGTACCCTGAATGTTGTGCAATTTTTCCCACTAAAATAAACACTGAGAAGCCAGACTGGGCCCTCTGAGCCTTTGCCAAATAATCCTTGCTGAAAAAGAAAGAGCAGGATTTGATGGGGTGCAAAGCAGGTAAAGTACCAGATCCTTCATTTTTATCCCAGGTCCTCAGTGAAACTTGAATACTTGTCTACACTTCGGGTCCTTAGGAGACATGGAGGAGGCAAATTCTGTTTGGAGAAAGCCAGTGTTCAACACAGTACTTGGTAAACACAAGGCACATTAATGCTGAGTGACAAGGTGCCATGGGCCAAGCCAAGCCCCACTTGTTCATCTAGGTTGGGATAATCAGAGGCAAGCCCAGCCCAGGGTCTCCTGTCCATGCACCTGGAGCAGCAACAGTAAAGAGCAAAGGCCAGTTCACCTCCCCTAGGAGGCAGAAGGAAGGAGACTGAGTGGTTGTCAGGCATGATCCTCCCCATCTGTGACGTGGTGGTAGCCAGGAGGCTGGGCCTGCATCCGGAAGAGGACAGTGAGGAGCAGCACGATGAGAAGGAAGAGGATGGAGCCACACACAGCCAAGGCCACAATCACCTCTGGGCATGGGGCAGGAGGGAGAGAGAGAGGTCATGTCAGTGTTCATTCAATATTTGAATACCTACCATATGGCAGGTGCTCTTCTTACAATGGGACATACATGGGTTAGTGACAGATGGTATAAAGAGAAACAAAGCAAGGAAAGGGGAAAAGAATGAGAAGCGGCTCAGTCAGGGAAGGCATCTGGGGAAGTGACAGTTTGTACAGAGATCTGGAATCAGAGTGAGACATACAAAGATCTGAGAGAATAGTGTTCCGGGGCAGGGGCAGAGAGAATGGGTATGCAGGAAGCAAGTACCAAAAGCTCTGGTGTGGGTATAAGTTTGGCGTGTTCTCAGATCAGCCAGAAAGTATGGCCAGAGCAGAGTAAGGAAGGGGCGAGTAGGAGATGAGAGCAGAGGCCCAGACCATGCAGGGCCTGGAAGGCCATGGTGACAAACTTGGATTTCTTTCCTGGTGTGATGGGGAGCAATTAGAAGATTCGGAGAAGGGTAGCAATGCAAACTGATTTATGTTTTTAAAAAATTCACTCTGCTATGCTGAGAGACTGGTAGAGACGAGAAGAGAATCAAAAAGAACGTTAGGAAGCTTTTTGGTACTTCAGGTACTAAATGAGGTAGATTGGACCAGGGAGGTGAGAGTGTGTGCTTTAGAGGTTGAGCTGGTAGCATCCGCTGGCCAAATGGATGTGGGCTCTGAGAAAGAGGGATTCATGACAACTCAGGGTTATCCTATGCCACTAGGTGATGAATGCAACATTTACTATGATGGGGAAACCTTGAAGAAGAGCATATTTAGGAGGAAGAGCATTTGTTTTCAGATACATCAACTCGGGGATGTCTCGGCTGACATCCATGTAGAGACCCCAAGTTGGCAGCTAAATATGTGAGTCTGTAGCTCAGAGAAAAGGTCATGAATCTGCAGGTCCTACAAAGACAGAATTTAACATAGAGATGGTATATGACACTAAGATCACCTTAGGAGTGAGCAGAGATGGGGAATGGGCCAGGATGAGCCCTGTGCCATCCACTGTTCTGTGGTGGGGAGGAGGAGCCAGGTAGGAAGCTCCCTATAAAGGGAAAAATCAGAGCGGCCAAGACAGTGTTTCAAGAAGAAGCGACCAGATGTGCACTGCTGCTGAGAGGGAAGAGGTGCTAAGAACTGGCCACTGATTTTGGTAAGGGAATCATTGGTCCTTAACAAAAGCGGCTTCAAAGTACTGTCAAGGGTAAGTCTGAGAGAACGTGCAGCCAGGAAGCAAAACCAGGGTCCTGGTAACTCTGAAGGGTTCTGCTCTAAAAGGGAACAGATGGAAAGGTAGCTGGGAAAAGATGGGGCCTGAGAGGTTCTGTTGGGCTTCTGAGATGGGATGGATCCAGTAGAGAGAAAACAGAGACATCAGAGGCAGAGGTCCCTGTGGAGGTGAGAAGAGATGGCCCCTCAGTGAAGAGCTTGGCCTTAAGCAGCAGTTTATACCTGCAAGTAAGCAGGAAGAGGTGGTGGTGAGAGAATGAGACAGTACCCTCCTGGTTGCTTCTTTTGGTTAGTGATATAAGAAGGAGGGGCATCTCCTGAGGGTGAGGAATAGGCAGAAGGTAGAAGACGGTCTCAGCGTGGGGAAGGACCTAGGGGAGAAGTCCCAGTCTAGGGGATGCAGGAAGGAGGCTGCAAGTACGACAGCTCTCTTGAGACTTGTGGATCTGAAAGTTGTTCTAGGACATGACTAGCACAGGGGCAGGCAGCAGCTCACCTGTGTCTGCAGGACTGCTCACAAGCTGGCACTCCTGCTGCCAATCCTGGGGCACAACAGGCTCCGTGAGGCGAAGGAAGTCCTCCAGCGGGCAGCGGTGAGGGCAGCCGGGCAGGATCAGTGGCCAGGGTGCCTTGTTACTGTCATTCCGGAAGTACATCTCCACTGAGAAATTCCTGAGAGTTGACAGGAGACAAGATGTGAGCTGCTCGTCAGGCCCGCAACTGTGTCCTTGGGCTACCCACAGCCACCACACAAGAGCCTGTCCAGAGGACACAGTGGTAGCTCTACTCACCCATTATCTTCCTGGTACAGTTCAAATATGTGGCAGGAGGCATAGGGGGCTTGTTCACCATTGTAGACATCCAGTGCCATTTGTAGAGCAACCAGTGTGGTGTCGTGCTGTCAGGGAGATGGACTCCCCATCAGCACTGCTCCCCTGCACCACCAGGCACTGAAGACAGAAGTCCGGCTCATTGCTTGTCATTAGCACACAGGGGAGTAGGGGAGCTTACCGCAGAATAAACCAGCAGCTTGGAGAGTTGGGAGGAGGTCGCCATCAGGGTCAGGTTCTTCCGTATCTGAGCCAGTAGGACTCCTGAAGGAAAGAATCCCCAGTGTCAGCAGCAGCAGCCATCACTGGCTTTGGATCAGACCTATCAGTCCTCTCAACCTCTGCAAGACCAGGTCTGATCAAGTAGCACAGAGAACTCTTCAGGCACAAGATAGAACAAGATATCTATACATATCTCAACACAGATGTAGAAACCTGTCCATTTATAAATGAGCTATGAAGCCCTACCCACGTTTGAGGAATTACTTCAGTCTGGAATAAATATAAACTTAAGATAGTAGGTCTAGGCTAGGGTGGCTCTGAAAACCACTGAGATGTCAAAGGTCTGTTGGCGGCACTCCCACAAGTGCTCCCACCAGAACACAACATGTGCACTGCTCTCAGCCTTCAGAGGGACCCCAGCGGTTCTCTGGAGGTAGGTATTCATTTAGGGTACAGAGGGTCTTCTAACATGGGTGAAACTTAAGAATATGATGGCAGAAAAGCATGACAACCTGGCCATCTGTACAGTGACAAACGTGCTAAGCACCTGAAGAACTGGAGAGACTTTGGTGACTAATGGGGGTCTGGTTCTGAAAGAGCAGAGAACATTTCAGGTGGAGAAGTAAGTGTGAGAAGCCCTCAATAGCAGATTTTTAATGCTGTAGGGTCCTGAGGAGGGGAGCGACATACTGCTCTTGTCACTCACCCCCCTGAAGCCGGGCCTTCTCTGCCTGCTTGTAGATCCCGAAGAGGAAGCGGAAGCTGAAGTCCTTTAGCTGGCTCAGGCGCTGCATGGCTCGGGGTGAGGCCCAGGGCGGCAGGACCAGCCCGTGTGTTTGCTGTGTGTCGCAGCAGTGGGCAGGTTAGCTTCCTGGACCTAAGCCAGAGCCTCTCCAGGCAGCTCAGGCATAAAAAGATGCCTCAGCAGAATGGAGTCAGCTACCACGAGAGCTCGGGGTGGAGGGAGCAAGAACTGCTGACACACAATAAACCATTTCCCACTCTGAGGTTCTTGGTCACCCGCGAAGGAAGTTCCCTTGTTTCACAAGTGGCTTGCCTGGGCCTCCCCAGTGGGAATGGCATCCAGGCTCCGTGTCCTACTTGTCCTGGTCGCCTCAGCTTGCTGAGGTGTGAGAGAAGGATGCTCAACTGGGGACCCTGAGTGGGCTCACCTCACAGAAGAGTGTGTCATAGACATTCCAGATGGTCTCCAGTGTCAGGTCTGTAAGCCCTGTCTCGTTGGACACCATATCCAGAAATTGCTAAGAAAAATGGATCAGGGGATCAGTGCTGCCCCAGGGAAAGGACTGTATGCTGATGTCCACCTCAGCCCCACTCACTGCATTCTGAATCCTCTCATTCTGATACTCCAGTGTCTGCCGGGTCTCGTTCTGTAGCTGCTCATATCGGGGACAGGGACCCAATGGGAACTTCAGCAGCTGCAGGCCAAAGAGAGGAAACAGAGGCCAAGAAGGAGTCACGGATAGCAGACCCATGGCCAGAGTTTCCCCTCACCCCTCTGGGGAAGGATTGGCCAATCTCACCCTGTCCTCAGTGATGGGCACAGTGTGGACCGGGATAGGCTGCCAAGAGATGTTTGGGTTGAAACGTTGCCTCCCATTGGGAGGGAAGAGTCCAGCCAAGTTGGCTTCAGCGCTCATGAGAGTACGGTCAAAGTCTGTGCTCCGCACATACACCTGCAGAGGTGATGACACAAGCACCACCTGTGGAGGGTGGTGGAGGAGCACTGGGCCTTCGGTGGGGCCCCAGGGGGAGAACCTGTTTTTGACGGTTATCCAGCAAATTTTAAACCCACCATGACTCTGTCTCTCCCCCATCTCTGACCTTCCTCGTCCCTCTTCCCAGCAGATCCAAACACACAGCTGGCGGTTAGCTGTCATCATTCTGTGAAGAACTGTGGGAATGGCTTTCATTCAACCACCCCTTCCAGTCCAAAGTGCTCAGTCAGTAAGGCTATCAGGTCTTGGTTTTATAACACCACCTGTCTCCCTATCTAGATGAGGGTTCTTGAGGGCAGAAACTGTCTCCAATCAAACTCAACTGGCTTAGGAACCAGGGAGAGGAAAGAAGATGAAGAACAGCTATAATTGCTTGTGAAAAGGGAGGAGGAAGCTGTGGGTAAGGGCAAGACCAGGCTAGAGCTGGCCCTCAAGGGAATAACATCCAGAGTCTCTTGAAACAGCTATGGCTGACAATGGTAACCAGAGGAACAGATAATCTGCATCCCAGGGGTGGATAGAAGGCTATAATGAGCCAGCATACTTGCCCATCTTCCCTGGCATGCCCTTTCTATGCATAGCTTTCCTGTCATTTATTGCTTGTGGGTTTATCGTTGGTCACCCTCAGTACCTTCTAAACTCCACAAAGACAGAGATCATATTTGGGTGGTACATCAGTTATATTCACAGTGCTAGCACAGTGCTTGGCCCTTGGTAGGTACTCAGTAAGTGTCTTGGATGGCAAGTTCAGAAACTACTTTGCCAGGCCCTTCCCTAAGTCTGAGCTTGGATACTTGATCAGTTTTGCCTCTTCCCAGTCAAGCAGGCGCAACTCAGCCTCTAAGGGTTTTGTTCTAGATGGCTCTTGGATATCTTATCCTGCAGTTGCAGTTGTTACCAAAAATGCATGGAAGGAAACCAGAGTTCCCAGCCTCACCCTAGGCTCCCTGAGGATAGTGAATCCCATTCCCCCTGCCTCTTGAGCTCCCAGCCTTGCCTCTTGAGCTCCCAGCCTTACCTCTTGCCAGTGGTAAGAGGCATTCAGAAAGCCCTGGTAGCGCTGCCGCAGAGCCTGGCCCAGCTCCCAGTGCTGTAGCATTCCCTCCTGTGGTCAAAGCCAAGGGTCAAGAGGATCCAGAGGGAAGGGATGGCTCACAAGTCCCACAGGGCTTAGGCACTATTGTTTTCCAAGTTTACCCATGGCTGGAAGTAGGAATGGGTTAATCTGACCCCAGAAGTCATTTAAGTGGCCAGTTGTGGCTGGCACTGTCCTGGACAGAGAGAAAAGTAATCTTTTTGGTTAAGAAATCTGGTCAAAGTCAGCACCCACATGAGAAATGGCAGTTTGGTGGGGCTGCAAGTTCTGTAGCCTGCTCTAGAGATCACTCATTCTACGGGTCACCCTGGGGAAGGGCTGGCTTCTGACCCACCTTGGTCAGCTGACCAAACCCCTGGGGCCACTCATCTTCCTGATGGGGGTCCCTGGGATATGTTTTCACTGGCGAACGGTCTCCATGTCGGTACAGCTGAGGAAAGAAAGTGATTTGCTTACAGGTTGGAAGGGTCCTTGATGGAGACACAGAATTCATCTCTGCCCCATGCGGGCTTAAGAAGCCTCACTCCTTCCGGGAAGCCTTAATCCTGCCCACTGCAAAAGACTCCAACTAAGAAGCCAGTGATTTCTTCCAGGTTGTAGAGATTCTAGCTTGGCTAAGCAATGCCACTGGAGACCACAGACAAAGCCAAAGGTGGGAAGGAAAGAGAAATAAAGCAATGCAGATGGTGGTGGAAATTGAAAAATCGAACACTAAAGGCTTCCTGAGGGGTGAATCTGTTAACTGTTGGACAACATCTCTGTCCCAGGTCAGACTCGCCAGACCTACCCATTAGTATAAAACACCTTACATCCTACCCACCCCAAATAACCCAGGGCTCCACAGCGATTCCGCAACAGAGACCCAACCCTCCAAGCCAAATGCCTCCTCCTAAACCAGCTCCTCCTCCTCCAGGCCCCCGAGCCCGGCACAAGCCCCGCTCTCCCTCCACCCGCAGGCCTATGCCCTTCTAGCTGTGGCGAGTCTTTTGGCGACCCCATTTCTCATTACCAAGGTGATAAAACGCAGACTCCGGGCCTGGGTGGATGGCATCACCATCATGTTCACGCCAAGAAGGAGATGGAGAAGAGCCGCCCGGCTCCAGCCACACAGTCCGCCCGCCATCACCGCGGCAGTCTATGCTGCAAAGAGGTTGGAACCCATTGGGCGGCACCTGCAGCAGCCGCCCGGACTCACCCGTACGGACACCGCCGGAAGCGCTCTCGCCGCCATCTTGCTAAAGGAGGGGCAGAGATGGTGGAGGTGGAGACGTCTGGGTCGGAATGCGTATAGGAGGTTCGCGGTCCGGCGGCCCGTGGGGATATAGCTTGACTGCGTGCGGCAGAAGGGGTTTAGAGACCTCGTCTTGGTAAAGAGATCCCTGAACTCGGGTTTGCCTGTCACGTTAGAGACCCCGTATCAAGGTGGTGCCTGCTCTGGGCCGGACAGTAGGCAGAGCTAGCGGCCCTGCGGGCCGGAGTGCTGCGGGCTTGACTCCAGAGCCAGAGGATGCAAAATTGGGGCGAGGGAGAAGTAGATCTCCACGTTCCTGCCTTCTGGTGGAATTTGAGCCTTGGCCCTGGCTCAGTACCCTGAGAGCGGTCCAGTTTGATGTAGGGAACAGCGGGTAAACAGCCCTGTGGACTCCCTGTGCCCTTGAGGTTGGTCCCGGTCTAGCCTACTGCAGTCAGCAAAACTTGAAAAGACATCTAACTTCCCCTTCCAGTCCTTTCCCTGCCCTTCCACCCATTTACTTACAAGTTTTAGATGCCTTCCGAGATGTGCCTCTTTTGAAAGAAGTTGGGTTGCACACACGTACAGACTGCAAAACCAAAGCAGTGAATCCCTATGGGAAGAATTTAAGACCAATGGAGAGACATATAGGTACAAGGGGCAGCAGCATGCTCCAAAGTGGGAGCACGTGGATTTTCCAAAGAATCAAAGGCCCCCTTGGCATTGACCATTAGGACCCTGGAGCAGGCAGTTTGGCCTCAGGGCTTTGACTGAGCTTGAAGTGACTCACAGTGCCAGGAGGTCAGATCCAAAGCATTTGGGATTCTTTGATTCAGATCTGTCCACCAGAAGCAAATTACTCACATCACTGGGGAATTAAAACCTGATGAGAACTTTATGGGAGAAAGCGAGGTCATCTTGCCCTAGGACTCCAGATTCAGTTATTTATATTCAGGATCTAAACTTTGCAGGGTTATTATGGGTGAACAGAAATTGAAAGCTGAAGGCTGGGTAGTCCAGTAGTTCTTAACCTTATTTAGTCACAAGCCCCTTTATGAATCAGATGAAAATTTAGTCCCCTCTCCAGAAAAATGACCACACACACATAAATGGATTTTTGCATCTAATCCCAAGAGATTTATGAAGACCATCCACATGTTTCATCAGCATCTCTGAATCCCTGATCCAACCTAGTTTCCTTACTTTACAGTAAGAAAACAAACCCAGGGAAAGGAAGTGACTTGTCCAAGGTCACACAGTTTAGGAGAATGGATTAATACTCAAGTTTTCTGACTCGCAGTCAAATACTCTATAAAGGGCTATTTCATGTAGGCTGCTTTGCTAGACTATTTGGTGGCCCCCAAAATACCTTCAGTTAAGAGCTTTCTAACAAAGGAAACCTTTTCATATTGGTGGGATAGAATGGGGTATGGCTAATTGGTAAGATTCTGCAAACTAGTAGGAGTTTTGTAGGGTTTTGTTTTAATATGCCCCTTACTGTCCTTGAAAACTAGCCAGACTTGTGATTTTAGAATGCAGATCTTGGGCTCACTAAATGTTGGCAGGTAGAACAAAAATCCCTCAAATCCATCTTTTGCTTTCCTTCTCACTTACTCAACTATTTGTGCCTCCAAGTATCCCATGTAAGAGGGATTGATAGATCAGATGTTATTTCAATTTTTGTAATAAGAAACATCCAATAAGGGTGAGAATTACACAAGTACAAGATAGATCCAAGAGATGAGCCCTGGTTTCTTGGCCCCCAGCTTCTGAATGTTTTCTAACCAGGATGACTCTGTGGTCCCTGCCCTTTGGTTCCTAACTACAGAAGCAAAAAAAGAAAAAAGACATGTAAATGGATTGATAGATGGATCCCTGATGGGCCTACCCCAAATCAAATAAATCAGAATTTCTGAAAATGAGGCCAGGTTTGGGAACCACTGCTCCACCCTGTGTTGGCAGAAATCAACCTAAATCCAGGTGAGTTAACCATTTTTCCCATCTGGGGAGGCAGTTTTGTGTAATGAAGTGAGGTATGTTTTGTCTCTTTAACTTTGAGCTTTTGAGTCAACTTATACCTGTGTTCAGATATTGCCTTGCTAGTAACTATCTCCTATCATTTTATATATGAAGATAAATAAAAGAATACTTGTAAAGATAAATATACGTAGTAGGGCCTACATAAGTGTTACTTTTTTTCTTTCCTTTCTGCCCTCTATATCATCTCTGAACTCATAGGCCTGGGAAGCAGGAATTCCTGGGTTCTCCTCTATCTTGTGATTGAGAGATTGGGCAGGATGACCTACACACTGTGTGCCTTTCCAGAATGGTGAAGAAGGGGGCAAGAAACAGTTGCCCCTGTCCACCTGGCAAACCATACCTAGTAGCCTGCTTCATGGGAATTTGAGTGCTTTCTGGGGAGGTACCCATAGTGCATATGACTGTGGGCTGGAGTGCTCCTATTTTTGCTTCAAGTTTCCCCTTGTTGCAAGGAGAAGCCACTGGAGGTTCTGGGAATTAGAAATGTGACTTGGAAGATCCCTGAACATGTTCCTAGGCATGTTGCCTCCTCTAGGAGCCAAGGAAACAGGAAAGGCCATGGGACTGGGAGGATTTGCACCTAACACCTACTGTGGGCCAGTGGGACTGTGCAGTTGTGGGGGTCTGGCAAAGTAGAACATGTGAGTCTAGCTGTCAGTCATCTGACTGCTTGCCGTGGCTTGGGGAGAACTGGTGGTTGGTATTCAGAAACTGTGGAGATACTGCCAACAGATCTTAGCCTTCCCCCGTTTTGCTCCACCTTCCCTTCATTGTGGGGAGGCTCCTGAACCCCTGTAAGCTTGGGGGAATTGCTCTGGCAGTAAAGCAATGGTAATGCTTCCTCCTCCTGCCCTTGAGGTGAGACTGAGGCTGCCTCCCTGGCTTGTGCGAGATGGCACCCTGACATGCTTGCTCAGCATCTGGCTCACCCTGGGTCAGAGGGCTCCAGATGAGGCTTGTGTGTGGTCTGGGCTGTGAGGAGACTAGGGTATCAGGAAGGAGTTGAGGACCAGGAGTGGATGAGAGAGGCTTTTCCCAACTCCCAGAAGACAGGTGATCAGGCAGCAGACCAGTGTTACATCCCCACTTCATGGTTACATGCCCACTGTTTCGATGACATCTCTGACTGTGCATCTGTGCTGGAGCTTCCAGGGATGGGGAAAGATGGAGGAGGGAGTGGGATCAGTGATGTGGGTGCTGGGAGAGAACAGTTCCAGTTTCCCAGGGGCTAGAGTTCCTGCTTTCTGTTTTTCCAGGACAGCTGGGGCCTTGTGAAAATTGGGGAAGGAACACACATAAAAGGAATGGAGAACCTTGTGCTCATGACTCAGATGCCCAGGCTAGGGTGGGGACCTTACTAGGGGATGGCCTTGTGATGAGAGGGAACAAGAGCAAAAACTGGAGGCAGAAATTTGAGAGGGAGGTGCCTAAGGGGCTTTTCTGAAATGTGAAAATGAATACATGGGCAGATTTTGCAACTCCACCCAGCCTGTCTTCTCAAGTGTCTGCTCCCCCCGCCCTGGACTGTTTCCCCTGCCCCACCCTGTGCTTCCTCCCCTCTTTCACTAAGCTCTTGTTGTATTTCTGCTTTCCCTGGCCTTCTCCCATCCTATTCCCCCACACTCCTCTCTTCTCCTCCCTGCTGCCCAGTTCATCTCTGTTTCCATCCGTCTGGCTGCTGGCCCTGACCCCCTGTCCTTCTATGCTTTAATGGGGGACCTATGGGAACTGGAGTTCACAGCAAAACAGGAAGAGCCTGTGAGCAGGAAACTGGGAGTGGGGCAGGGGGGTAAACAACCAGCAGTAACCTCAGCTCCTTGCCTTCTACATCTGGACTGAAACATCCCCAGGGCTCTTGGCCTCTCCCACTGCAGCCCATTAGCCCCAGCTCCTTCTGTCTCAACACTTCACAGGTCTAGCTGACCTGAGAGGTAACAAGACGAGAGAATCCCGGACTCTGACACAGGGGAAAGGAAGAGTACAGGGCATCTTATCTGGAGTGAAGACATTGATCACAGTGTGGCCACTAACTGTGTGAGGTCTTGGAAGAGGTTTTCCCATGAGCTCAGTGTTCTCTGAATAATGACACTTGTGTTATTTACCTCCATCCTTCCTGGGGCTGCTCTAGGGACCAAAAGAGATAGTGGGTTTGTATGTGGAAACAAGCACTAGACGGTTAACAATGTTCAGATTCAAGGTGATGGGAAGACCCATAGCTGAGAGGATTGGGCAGCTGATGATAACTGCCACCATTCTTGAACACTTACGTATTATGTGCCACACATGTGCTATGATATACAGGCATACTTTGGAGATATTGCCGGTTCAGTTCCAGACCACCACTAAAAAGCAAATACCGCAATAAAGTGAATTAAATGAATTTCTTGGCTTCCGAGTACAAATAACAGTTATGTTTACACTATACTGTAGCCTAGTAAGCATGCCATAGCATTATTCCTGAAAAAATATACATACCTCAACTTAAAAATATTTTATTGCTAAAAAATGCTTAACATCACCTGTAATCTTTTTGCTGGTGAGGTATGTTGATGGTTGCTGACTGATGAGGGTGGTGGGTGCTGGAGGTTAGGGTGGCTGTAGCAATTTCTTTTTTCTTTTTCTTACTGTCTAAAAAAAGATAATGAAGTTTGCTGCATCGATGGACTCTTCCTTTCATGAGTGATTTCTCTGTAGCATGTGATGCTCTTTGATAGCATTTTACCTACAGTTGAACTTCTTTCAGTATTGGGGTCAGTCCTCTCAGAGTCTGCTTCATGTAATATTCTAAATCCTTTGTTACCATTTCAACAACCTTCACAACATCTTCACCAGGTGTGTAGATTCCATTTCAAGAAATCACTTTCTTTGCTCATTCATAAGAAACAGCTACTCATCTGTTAAAAGTTTTATCCTGAGATTGCAGCAATTCAGCCACATCTTTAGGCTCCACTTCTAATTCTAGTTCTCTTCCACCACATCTGGAGTCAGAACACACAACATTTATTAAGTTTTTCCATCTTATATGGGCACGATTCCCTGGTGCCCCCAAACAATTACAATAGGAATATCAAAGGTCACTGATCATAGATCATATTAACAAATGTAATAATAATGAAAACGTCTGAAATATTGAGAGCTACCAAAATGGTCACAGGGGCACAAAGTGAGCAAATACTGTCTTATTATTATTATTATTAAGGTATCACTGATATACATTCTTATGAAGGTTTCACATAAAAAACATTGTGGTTACTACACTCACCCATATTATCAAGTCCCTCCCATACCCCACCGAAGTCACTGTCCATCAGTATATTAAGATGTCACAGAGTCACTATTTGTCTTCTCTGTGCTACACTGTCTTTCCAGTGACTCCCCCCACACACACACCATGTGTACCAGTCATAATACCCCTCAATCCCCTTCTCCCTCCCTCCCCACCCACCCTCCCCAACCCCTCCCCTTTGGTAACCACTAGTCCCTTCTTGGAGTTTGTGAGTCCGTTGCTGTTTTGTTCCTTCAGTTTTACTTTGTTGTTATACTCCACAAATGGGGGAAATCAGAGCAAATACTGTTACTAAAATGGTTGATAGAATTGCTTAGGGTTGCCACAAATCTTCAATTTGTAAAAAACAATATCTGCAAATAGCAATAAAGCAAAACATAATAAAATGAGATACGCCTGTATTGTCTAATTCTCACAATGAACTTAGGTGGCAGAAACCAATATCATCCCCATTTTAAAGATACAGAAACAGAGCTTCACAGACATTAAGTAACTTGGTTAATCAAGATCACACAGCTAATAAAAGGCAGCGGTAAAGTCAGGATTTGAACCCAAGATCTGAGCCCAGAGCCCAAATGTTAAATCAACTAGATGAAATTGACTAGAGTTAACAGGTATAGAAGATAATCATATTTTTGTTTACTAACTCATTTAACAAACAGCAGTATAGTATCACTCTTGCCTACTCTATGCCAAGCCCTGTTCCATGGGCTACAGAGGAGATAAAATTAATAAAACATTTTGTTTGCCTATAGGGATGGATCTCATGTTTTGCGCAATAGGGCAGGAAGGCTATGTCAGTAGTCTCAGTAGCTGCTGAATAGAGATTGCCATCACTTCAGATGGAACCATTCCCCAGATAAGGGACACTGCACACCTTGCCAGCTCCATCCTGGGCTGGCACCTGGGTCACCTGCCATCCCCACCCCCATCCCCATTCTAGGCCTACCATTGCACCTCTCTTGGCTTCTTACCCTCTTGATGTCCTCTGCAGGGCACCTGCACCCCAGGATTCCTTGAAAGTCCAGCACCTGCCTCTATTCACCCCTGGAGTTCTACCAGAGTGGCTGAGGCCTGGAGCTAGTGGGGAGAGCCTCTTGGCCCCTTCCCAGGGTAGGGAAGAGAGAGAGGGAGGCTGGGAAAATAGGCTGGGGCTCAGTGTTGTAACTCTGGGCAGTGCTGGGACCTTTGCTCCATGAGGTGTCTATAGAGGGGAGGGAACGCCAGCTCTGGAGGCTGCCAGGATTGGGGTGGGGGTGTCTGGGAGGCAGTCCTACAAGAGCAACTAACAGCCACTGGGGTGAGAGAAGAAGGGGAGAGTCATGGACTGGGCTGGTCTGCAGAGAAATGTGACTGTCACAGTTGGGAGTAGGGGTTCAGAGCTAGTGCTGGGCTGAGGGGAGCCAGCTGGGGAGGAGTCATCCTGGGGGGAAGCTGCCCCGTGGGCGGGTGGCGGGAGGAGGCCAGGGCTCCGTAGGTCAGTTGTCTCCATCCGCCTGGCAGGAAGGAGAAGTGGCCCGACCCCTTGGCAGTCCCTCCCCTCAGCCATTCCCCACATTACTTCTCCAGGGTTCCGGGCCCCTCTCTTGCTCAGCTCTGACTCCTGGCTCCTCCGGTGGAAGTCTCTGGACAGGGGACTGCACTGTCCTCCTCTCTCAGCAAGGGGGCTCCAGAGACTGCTTAGCCCAGGAGTCTGGCGGCCTCAGGATTCGGTGGGTCTGCTCCTCAGCACTGGCGGGGGCTCTGTGTGTGTGTGTCTAGGGTTGGGGGGTGTCCTGTGGCTCTTAGAAAGGGGTCTGTGGGGAGAAGTGAAGAATGATGTGTGTGAGAAGCGCTGGCAGAGACAGGATTCTATTTAGGTCCCAGAATAACTCCTGAGGGGGTCTGGGAAAGGACATCCTGTATGTGAATTGAGGCAAACCTTGGAGGCAACAGGCTTGCTTGTGCTGGGACCCTGGAAAGTGGCAGGAGTGAGGTGGTTTCACTGGGTGGAGTGAGCCTCAATCCCATGTCCTGGTCCTGGCCGACTTTGGCTATCCCCAAAGCTGGAGTGAGGCAGAAGGGGCCCTGTTGTGCCCAAACATTCCCTGATGCCCTGGAGGGATCTTTGGGAGAAATGGTCTCCTGATGGCCAAGAGCTCAGACTTTGGAGTCAGAGAGACCAGAGTTGGAGTCTTGGCTCTACCACTGTCTAACTGTGTGACAGCAGGCAATTTACTTGATCTCTTTGAACCTCAGTTTCCTCATTTGTAAATGGGTTTAAGAATAGAACTGACCTCACAGAAATACTGTGAAGAAGGCATGTAAACCCTTAGCATAGGCTGACAGACATATATGGCAGGTTAATGTTACTTGATAGGTTAGTACTGATAAAAGGCAGAATAAGGAGGAGAAGACTGCTGAGGCCAGAAAAGAGCCCAGTTCTGAGAGAGTGTAATCTGGGCTGTTCCTGCAGGCCAGTCCCTTGGTAATGTCCAGGGCTCTAGGAGGAGATGTCCTTGTGGCTGGAGGCCTCTGTGCCTGACATTTCTTCTGGTAAGCTGCTTCACTCCAGCCCTTTCCCTGGAGCCCAGGCCCAGCCCTCTATGGGTAGAAATAAGTTTGCAGTTTCCCAGAAGGACCCTGGAAAAGTGAGCAGGGTAGGCCCTGAGACCCCCCTCTTACGCCTCTCTTTCTGGGCTCAGACTCTGCAGTGGAGCTGTGGGAGCCACATGTGCAAGATGCAAGCGGCCAGGCACTGGGAGGCAGCACCTGCATCCTTAGGGGGGAAGCTAGCAGGCCCCAGTCCACTGGGGGCACTTTGGGAGTGGGGCTGGAGGCAGCAGAGCCTGCAGCTCTGCTCCCCAGAGAGGATGCCCTTCCAGAGTCCACAGGTGAGGAGCTGCTGGGTTTGGAGGAGGTAGGCACTCCCTGGATCTGGGAGGGGTACCTTAGGGCTGTTTACCTCATAGGGTCATGGTTAAGTCTAAATGCTTTGGAATCAACTAGACCTGTGATCTGAATGTGAATTTTGTCTCTGAGTTAGGCCTTTCTGAGTTTCCTTATTTGTAAAATGGAAATAATAATAGTACCTGTCTCCTTTGATTGTTCTAAGGATCAATGCATAGAAAGGGATCAGACAGTGCCTAGGACATAATAGCACTTGCCATATGAGAACCACTTTCTTACAATAGACTAGGCTGTGTATAATGAAGGAAATGAGGGCACTGAGTGCTCAGGGCAGTGGCGAACTGAGCACCAAGCCTTTTCCTTGGAGATGAACATTAAGGCTTTTCTCTGTATCCAGAGTTCCATCCACAAAAGCGAAAAAAGGGGCCAGCCCCCAAAATGCTGGGGAACGAGCTGTGCAGTGTGTGTGGGGACAAGGCCTCTGGCTTCCACTACAATGTGCTGAGCTGTGAGGGCTGCAAGGGATTCTTCCGCCGCAGTGTCATCAAAGGGGCACGCTATGTCTGCCACAGCGGGGGCCACTGCCCCATGGACACCTACATGCGTCGCAAGTGCCAGGAGTGTCGCCTTCGCAAATGCCGCCAAGCTGGCATGCGGGAGGAATGTGAGTGTCTGGGGATGGGAGTGCAGAGAGAGACTGAAGGGAAAGGGATCATGTGGCCTCAGGGTATGAGGATAGACAGGCAGCTGAGTCTCCAGGGCCTTCCTACACAGCCCCTGAGTATGGATTAATGAAATCTTTACCTTGTCCTTAGCCACTTTCTCTGCATTTCTGGAGCCTCAAACTACCTCTTCTGCCCTGTCCTTGCTTCCTGTCTCTCCTTCTTCTCCCCTCTTATGTCTGGCCTATTCTTAGGCGTCCTGTCAGAAGAACAGATTCGCCTGAAGAAACTGAAGCGGCAAGAGGAGGAACAGGCTCAGACCACATCAGTGCCCCCAAGCGCATCCTCACCTCCCCCAGTCTTGCCCCAGCTCAGCCCGGAGCAACTGGGCATGATTGAGAAACTGGTGGCTGCCCAGCAACAGTGTAACAGACGCTCCTTTTCTGACTGGCTCCGAGTCACGGTACCTGGAGGAACTGGGGACGGGAGGCTGTGCCTGGAGCTCCAGTGGGCTTCTTGATACCCAACTCAGACGGGTTTGTTTTTCCCTCATTGCTTCCTGGGTAGCCTTGGCCCATGGCACCCGATCCCCAGAGCCGGGAGGCCCGTCAGCAGCGCTTTGCCCACTTCACTGAGCTGGCCATCATCTCTGTGCAGGAGATCGTCGATTTTGCCAAACAGCTGCCTGGCTTCCTGCAGCTCAGCCGGGAGGACCAGATCGCCCTGCTGAAGACCTCTGCGATTGAGGTGGCTGGCAAGGGGTGGGGCAAAGGGACAGAGTGGGACTGTTTGTGGGAGGGGCCTCCAGCCAGCCAGCCAGCCATGGAGCTAAATCTCTGGGGTTTTCAGGGATAGACCTTCCCTTCAAGGCCCCCTGTGCCAGGCCTAGCCCACTGAGCACCTGTGCGAGGTCGGCTCCCTGTGTGCAGGTGATGCTTCTGGAGACAGCTCGGAGGTACAACCCTGGGAGCGAGAGTATCACCTTCCTCAAGGATTTCAGTTACAATCGGGAAGACTTTGCCAAAGCAGGTGAGAACTGAGATGACACAAGGATTGGGCTGGATGGACAGATGCTTTTTGTCATGGGACCCCCAGTGACTACAGAGCACAGAACCAAGGCTGTGTATGTGTTTCCAAGACAGTAAGTTAGAATGCTGATAGCCTTTTCTCGGTTGCTCCAAATACCTACCTGTTCTCTGTTGCATTAGCCAGTGGTTCTTAAACTGTGTTCCAAAGAACCTGAAGTGGGGGGTTGGTTCCATGGAAGTGTTACCTTAGAGTAGAAACATAGAGAAACAGGAATGTCTTTAATACATAAGCCAAACAAGAAGCTCCATTAATTCTGCATTATATATTACTCTTCTGCATACTGTTTTGCTTGAAAAAAGATTTTACAGCTAGGATAAAAAGTCTGAAAACCACAGCACCAAGCCTTTTTAGTAGTTAATAATGAACAAATCTCAGTTGTGCTCTTTAAGGACTGTGTGAACTGATTTCCCCCACTCGTTTGCAATTGCTCTTTCTGGTAAGCCATGGAACTGGAGCTGAAACATGGCAAATGTGCCCAGTTGGGACAGTTTTAGGATACAAGTTAACATTTCTATTCCTTCCCTATACCTGGAGTATGTTCTCCAAGAGTTAGTTCACCGTGCTCCTCTCTCTGTTATTTGCTTGCAGGCTCAGCAGGGTTAGTTTCCTCAAATTCAGTTGCTGGCAATGTTTGTGTTGTGGGAGTGGGGTTGGTAAAGGATGAAAGGTTGAGGGTGTTTTGGAGGGATGGGAACTGTGGCTCAACAGGAGACTGAGTAGTTTAGCATCTGAATGTGTGGCTCATTCTGTGACTTCATTCTTGGGGCTGGTAGGTCCTGGTTTCCATGGCAGAGCTCATAAAGTATTCTTTGGTTTCTGGTGACTGGCCAGCTCAAATGCATCTTGTCCCAACACAGGCCACCCCACCCAGTGAGCTCTCTAGGAAGACATCCCTTAACTATAGGCGTGGGAGAAATATGTTGGCACCTCCTGCCTTCTGTGGTCTCTGGCATGCTGTCTGAAATGTGTAAGCATCTAAAGGGATGATTTGATGACTTTTTCTAGCTTGAAAATCCCATCCCTGCCCCCTTTCTCTACCAGACCACCTTTTTCTCCAAATGGTTATTATCCCAGTCCTTCTTAACCATGGCCTCCTTCACAACATCTTCCCTTCTGAACCCTTCCCAGTTCTCATGTCAGAGTGTTCCTTCAGCACTTGTGGACTTGTGCTCTCTGAATCTGAACCTGTTTATAGCTTCGCTTATGTAAGCAGTTTTGATGTCATGTTTGCCTTTCATTTCTCACATTGTCAGTGAGGTCTTGGGCAGAAGGAACTGGAGCTGTCTTTTGTCAGATCTCCTTCCCCCTCTACTTCCACTACCATATGCGGCACGGGTGGATGACTAATGATGTGGGCTGATCATAGTGGAGGCATTCATTCAGGGAGCATCAGCAGACCCTGCCGAGTGCATGACCCAACACTATGGTCTCCTCTCCCTCTTGGTACAAAGGGGCTGTCCAGCACAACTCGAGGCTCAGCACCTCACCAAGAAATACTTTATAAAATGGGTATTTCCATTAAATGGATCAACACACACTTGATAAACATCAAGGTGAAAGTACAGGAAGTGACTAATCAAGAGCCTGGAATGGAAAAGTTAGCAGATGGTTGCTAAAGAACTCTGAGAAAGCTTCAGGGACAGTGAGGGACAGGGAGACTGACTGTGTGGGTGAGAACTGTTCTTTAAATCTCATGACTTTAGCTCATGGTTTGTTCAACTTTAGTCTCCTCAGCAAGAAGAATGATTCTATTTTTTTAATGTATTTTTTATTTAACAAACACATAGTAATTACTTTATGAGCCACACATTATTCTAATGATCCATTATGAGGCAGGCTTATTATATCTATTTTACAGATGGGAAAGCCAAGGTCCAGAGAGCTTAAATAACTCACTGAAGGTCACACAGCCCAGATATGGTAGAGCCAGGACTCAAACCTAGGCAATCTAGTGTCAGAGTCCACAATTTCAACCACATTGCTATGTTCCCACCAAGATGTGAAACATGAACTGTATCTCTAGGATTCAAATAATTAAGGCCAATTGCCAGTGAAAAATTTTCTGTATAAACAAAAATAGGAGTTGCCTCTATTTTTTATAATGTAAGGCCCTCAAAAATTCTAATAAGAAATACAGAATTATTATCATTTAATTCAGCACCTCCCATGTGCCAGGCCCAGTGCCAAGTACTCTGCATGCTCTTTACTATTTCACCATCACAACAGTCTTGTAAGTTCCAATATGATTCCCATATTTGGGATGAGGCTTAGAGAGCTCAAGAAAGTTGTCCAGCAGAGCCCTGGAGACTTCTTACCAAGTTCCTGGTAGTTCCCTAATTTGAGAAGTTGAAGGAGAGAAGGAAGTTTCTAATCTTGTGCCACATGCCCCAGCCCAGCTGAGACAGGGACCATGGGCTTAGACACAGTAGGGTGAGGGCCTCCTTAAAAAACAAAGCAAGATAATCCATTGTGAGATTTTCTTTGGCCTGCTGGGGGGCCCAGTTTATTTTTCTGACTTTACCCAGGTGCTGCTTTTCTTCCTCCAGCCCTAATCAGGTGATTTGAAACCTGGGCAATTTAACAAGCAAGCCCAAAACAACATAGTAAAAACAGGAAGGATTCCATCTTGAAAATAAAATTGCATTTTAAAACCCAATTAGTTAAAAAGTAAGTTTCTTAACATACTATTTAACAAACAGACAATAACTGAGCCCACCTTGGGAGCAAAGCAGGCAGTCTTGAGTGATACACTCCCAGACCAGGAAGCTGCTCTCCTGGGAGGAAATCACAGCAGAAATAACCCGGAAGGCTAATAAGAAACTTAATGTCTCTTCAAAGATAAACATTTTGGGACCACTTAGCAGGTGTGCATCCCTAGCCCTTTGTCTTTAAACTGCCTATAAATCCCCTAGACAACGCACCACCCCCAGACTCTCTTGTCCCCTCCTGGCAAGAGCCAGGAGCTCTGTCCTCTCCTTTTTCTCTAAATAAAAGCCTCTCCCTGCTCTCCTACCTTGAGTGTTTGCAAAGTTCATTCTTCGACTCTGTGAACAAGAACCCCGGCATTACCACTTCTTCCTCCCCAGGACTGCAGGTGGAGTTTATCAACCCCATCTTCGAGTTTTCCAGAGCCATGAATGAGCTGCAACTCAATGATGCTGAGTTCGCTTTGCTCATTGCCATCAGCATCTTCTCTGCAGGTGCGGAGGAGGGGCAAGAGGGAAACTGAACAAGAGGCTTGCACCCAAGAGGGCTGCAGGCCCCACAGGGCAGGAATCGTGGAGGGGTGCAGAGGCCCTTGCTGTGTTATTTTGGGATGGAAGAGGCTGGGTGCAGCATATTTCTATATTTTGGTTGTGATTTGGGGTATGGAACTAGAACCCTGGTCAGACCTGCTCCTCAACTCTCCTGGTAACTATAGACCGGCCCAACGTACAGGACCAGCTCCAGGTAGAGAGGCTGCAACACACTTATGTGGAGGCCCTGCATGCCTACGTCTCCATCCATCACCCCCATGTGAGTCTCCCCATGGTGCCCTTTTTCCTCCCTTCCAAGGCTCATTTTCCGACACACTTATTTTCCTTTCAAGAGTCCTTCCCTGACTTAATCATGCACAGACAATTCTCTACCTCTCTCACAACTCCATTACCCTTGCCCCACTTCCCTGGGGAGAGACAAAGGCTGTACTTTTCCTCTCTTTCCCCCAGGACCGGCTGATGTTCCCACGGATGCTAATGAAACTGGTGAGCCTCCGGACACTGAACAGTGTCCACTCAGAGCAAGTGTTTGCACTGCGCCTGCAGGACAAAAAGCTTCCCCCGCTGCTGTCTGAGATCTGGGACGTGCACGAATGACTGTTCTTCCTCCATGTCTTCTGTTTTCTGGGCTGAATGGCTGAGGCCCAGTGGTTGTTTTTCTAGAGGTGGGGCAGACTGAGAGGGGTAAACATTCCTGGGAGCTGGGCAAAGTACATCATCATGTGGCATTAAAGGAGAGTCAAAAGGTTGGTAGTTTTGTGGCTGCTGGGCAGTGGGGGTCTTGCTAAAGCTGTGTTGCATTTGAAGACTCTTCTGACCCAACCAAATGGGTGAACCTGGGGGACACTTTGCACAAGGTTCTCCAGAGCCCAGCCCATCCTGCCTCCACCACTTCCTGTTTTCTGCACAGGGCCCCTAGAGAAACTCTCCACTGTCACTGCAGCTTGGCCATAAATGCCTTGGGGCTGCCTCACTGACAGGTCTGGCAGTGTTTGTACAGGAAGACCAAAATGAACACAGAATGAGAGAAACCACTTCTGGATTGCCGGTAGGGGCTCGGCAATAGTGGAGTGAAGGCTGCGTCCTTTAGGATCCGCTTCCAGACTCAGAAGAGGAGACTAGTCCCAAGTAACAGCTTTAGCAGCAAGGGGACTCCCTCTTACTAGCCGGTGCCACGAGGGTAAATGAAATGCTGAGGCTTAGATGCCTCCTTCCCTTTTAATGATCCAAGTGGGGCTGTGATGTCTTTCTGTCGGCGGGGGAGGAAGTTTGGATGTTCAGAACTAATGCCTCAGTCATGGTGCGCGGGCGCACGTATACCTCGCTTTTTTCGTTGGCATCTGAAGAAGAGGGCACAACAATCCCTCCTTTCGGCCCTTAGGCCCTGTGGGACAGGAATAAAAATCCCCTGAGGCCAGGGGTAGGCTGCCCTGTCTTGGGCCTCTCCGGAGGGTGGACTCCATTTCCCAGCGGGCCCCGCGGCCTCGCTCACGCCCCCTTTCCATGGAGCTCACCCTGTCTAGGTGATACCGCGGTCGCGCCTTCTGGCCTCAAGTACCCGCGCTGCCCCAGAATTGGAAGGTTCCACTGCTGGGGCTGCAGGCTTTCCTGCCCAGGCGGCTGGGCACTTCCAAGCCGCGTGCGGGGGGAGGGAGGGAGATGAGGAGGACTGTCAGAAAGTCTTAGGGGCGGTTCATGTTGAGAAGTCGCTTCCTGATTTATGCACATTTCGTCGAAACGGGCGCTATTGCCATATCAAATTAAAATCTGTTTGCGCAACCTAAACAAAACGTATTCCTTTGCGTCCTCCCCTTGGCTGTAGCAATGCTGGGCTGGCCCAGCGCGCCCCATCACGTTCCACTCCCGCACGTATAGGTGTGTGCGTAGCCGCCTCTCTCCCGAGTTTGGCTCCACCCTTCAGCTGTCGGGTTGGTGTAGCCCCGTCCCCCCGGAGGTGAATGGTACGGACCACGGGCCCCCTCAGCCTTCCCTTTCCAACCCTGCTCGAGTGGTGCGCGACCCCTGGTGCAGATGTGAACTGGTGCGCACTCGGAGCGGCGCTTGCGCCGGGGAGCCACTGACGGTCGGCTGCCGGGGGACATCGAGCCCTGCCTGGCCGGTCCCCCGGGGCTTGGGAGGTAGGAAGGCCTGGACCACTCCGGTCCCTAGAAGGGTATCTGGGACCGGGCTCTATAGGGATGGACCTCTCAGGTGGCCAGAGAGTGTGAGGAGGCGCGGGGTCTGGAGGAGGAGTGGGGGACCGTAGGGAATAGGGCGGGGCTAGAAGTGGGGGCGCTCCGGGCCGCCAAGGGGTTACGGGCTGCGGGCCTGGGCGCAGCTGCTGTTGCTGGGCTCGGTTCCTGCAGGGCTGGCGGCTGGCGTTGGTTCCGGGGTCGGGGAGAACTGTCCAGCAGGTGAGAGGGCGGGCAGAGCTGTCCAGCTCGAGGCCCTGGCTGGGATAAGCACCTGGCATGCGAGCGTGGAGTGTGTGTGTATGCGCGCGCGCGCTCATTTTTGGTTAGGGTTTGAACCACGTTTGGTTCTTAACATTTTTTTTTCTGCAGTTGGTGTTTCATAGTTGGCTTGTTGGGCAGTGGGGACACCGTTATAATCTTTCCTGCAACCGCTTCCCCTTCCGTCCTCGTACATAAATACTTTATTTTCCTGCGCTCCTTTCTTCACCAACCCTACCTATTACCTGCTTCTTCGCTCTCGTTCTGATCCACGCTGGACTAGTCTGTACTGTAGCGCTTGCAAGGTCACTGCCTGGGGAGGGGGAGGAGGAGAGGGAGCCTCCTGTTGTGCTCACATCAGCAAAGATGTCATATCGCTCTCCAGTTCCTGTGGTTTTGCTATGACATCCTGCCCCAAAGGACGAACCCAAAGGATTGATTAGCGTGGTCATTTGTAGGCTGAAAACATAGATACAGCTTAAAGGTTTGTGTGTTCTAAATCTGCATCTGGATGGAGTAGATGGTGATGTAGGACATCAGCAGATAGGTGTACTTTTTGAGCTTGATGCCTTTGGAATACAGGAGACAGGAACCAGGCGCTCTGAGTTTCTAAATATGGTTGAGGAAGGAGGCAGAGTTTGATCCTAAGTGAATAATGAAGACAGAGTATGAGTTATAGGTAATGTTAGAGGACTTAGAGTCTATGAGAAGAGGAGGGGGTAATGGAAAAAGCCTTAATTATCATTGCAATTGGAATGACCAAAGGCGATGGTTGTTGATACGATACGAATTGTGACTAAAATCTACCCTATCACTAGTTACTAGAACAGTCACAAGATCTCAGGGTCTTGTGGTTCTGGAGGGAGATGAACATTGTGGAGAATGACAATGACTCGAGTTTTATCAAATGATTGTCAGTGGAGAGGGGCTGGAATCCCACCAAGGCTTGAGGCCTGATAGCTGATATGTTAGTAGATGCTTCAGGTGTGATCTTTGAGATTTTGGTAAAAAGAGCTCCTGGTTTTCAGTGTAAAAATAGATTTCAAGGCTTAGCCTTGAGCTTTGGTACTGCAAATTTTGTTTTATTTTAAGATACTTTGGCTCTCACCCTAGGCATTTTCCACATACTTCTTTATAGAACAAATAATGCTTTATTCCTCCCGATTTCGTTTCTATATTCCCCTCCCCTTCTCATTGTGCTTGGGAAGTGCTGAGCTTAGCTCTTTAACATGCCCCACCTTCTGCAGCATGCTCATAACTCTATAGTAGTGGAGGACTTTTTTGAGTGGTAATATACCTAGAAATGAGGATATGGCATGCTTAGGAGCTTGGTGTTGGTTGTGTGGAAAGGAGATATCACTATCAAAATCCAGAATTAGGACAAAGTGCAAACTAAAGGCACATGGGGGTGAAGGTAACCTAATAATTAGCAGGTGCTGTTGATGGAAGAGATGTCTCCAGATTTAAGGAGAATGAGTTGTTACGGGCCCTGTTATGACCACTCAGTGCTGGTAGCAGCTCCTAGCACTGTGTGGTCTCCAAGTGGGGGAGGGGCTGTGGCTATTCTATAAATAGTGCTGGCAGCCAGAGTCGCTATGGAGACAAAACTGAATCCTATTACCTGCAAGTCCTATGTTGGGAGCAAGAGAAAGGAGAGAACAGTATTTTGATGATTTGAGAAGTTGTTGCAGATAGGTCTTTTTTATTATTAAGTAGGGGAGAAAAAAGACTTGTCATTATTTAAATCAAATTGGGCCTTAAGCATAAATGGAGTGTGTGTGTCTATATGTATGAGAGTGCTCACAGCAGCAAAGAGTGGTGTGTGAGTGGTTGTGTAGTGTAATGAGATTCTCTTTGTATGTCTATAGTGAATGAGGTCTTAGTGTGGCCATGTGGGGAGCACAGAGGTAGAATCCTGAAAGCACTGAAAATAGGCTTGTAGTGGCGTGAAACATTTATTTAAAGAAGTCTTTGGAGACCCAACGGAAATGAATTATGATTAAGACCATGTAAGCTTTTCCTAATTTTTGGACTATGGTTTCGAAAGTCCCCTGAACATCTCTCTCTGTCCTTGCAGAAATCCTGTTATTCATGCATCAAATTCTTAATTTCTGTAAAATAGAGAAAGACGAGGCCTCATCTGTTTGTATTATATTACTGATTCTAATCCTGGGAGGAGAATAGAGAGAAAGACTATGATTCTGCACCAAGGGCAGAGCTGTAACAGTAACCACTGGGCCCCTTTCTTGCTGGAAGAGAGGAGGAAAATGGTTTCCATGAAGCAAATGGGACATAGATGTTCTTCATTTCAGATCACATGGGGAAAAGTAGCCAGCTGTTGTTACTGTCTGAGTGTAACTAACTATACAGTCTATAAGGTTCGTTTCACATCAAGCTGAATACAGAATGTTGGATCAGAGAATGATTAGGTTTCTATCTAGAGATAGGAGTGCAGACTAGTACTGATTAGAGAGTCTGGCTTGATCCTGCTCCATCCTGGAGCAGTCCTAAAAGTGACTTAATTTTTGTTATCATAATGACTGAGTCCAGATTAGACTAACTGGGTCTGTTTTTCAGAAACAGAACCCCAGGGGTGAGGATGGTTTGTAGGGATGGGAGGTGAGCCATTATTTATCTTGTTTCTTGACATTTGACTCTGTGAGCTCATAAGCCCAGATCGAGCTCTTGGCTAGGAGAAGTGTCCCTTCTATCTTTAGTACTAAAATGGAACACCTGACCAGTGCCCTAAGAGGGATGAATCCCTTTGGCACAGCAAAGGATCTTAGCAGTACTTTTTCCCTATTAGACTTGGATCTTCAGATAATACCAGAATTCATCCTGGGAACTTTGACTCCTTGCTTGGCGCCTTGAAGTTTCTGTGAGATGAACTGATGAATAGGAGCCATGGTACAGAAGAAGAAGTTCTGCCCCCGGGCACTGGATTACCTCGTGATCGTAGGGGCCAGGTAACCAGAGAGACTGGTTTTTTTTTGTCTTGTCATCTGGGACAGCCGCACAACTGTAATTATTCCTTTCTCCATTTCCACCTTGCTCTGTGTATCTCATGCTCCTGTTTTACCCTGATAGGAACCTTGATGCCACTGTTAGGTGGATAGGGAGTACTGGCTTGGAGGAACAGAGATAGAGCAAAACTCTACTCTTAACTGGCATCTTTGTGATCTTGAGCAGATATGCTCTATATATCCTGGTTTCCTTATTTGGTAAAAACAAGAAGTACATAGTGCTCCTTCTCTACCTACACATACTGTTTTGGTGATTCATTAGCTAATAGACCTTGAAAGGTGTTACTCATCTTGTTAGTGATAATTTTATTGTTGCACTTTCCCTTTCATTTCAGGATAGCTGTTGTCATGGCAGTGCAGACCTCAGTTAGCCTACCAGCTAAATGTCTCAAGCAGTACCCATGTTTTTCAAGGCCCTGACATTAGCTTACTTTATCCAGTGGCATTTTGAGCTTAATTTCTGGACTGTGGTTAAAATTTGAAAGAGCATCCTAGCCTCAGGTTGCTGAATTTGTCTTTGTATTCTTCAGGCACCCGAGCAGTGACAGTGTGGCCCAGACTCCTGAATTGCTACGGCGATACCCATTAGAGGATCATGCTGAGTTTCCCCTGCCCCCAGATGTAGTGTTCTTCTGCCAGCCCGAGGGCTGTCTGAGTGTGCGGCAGCGGCACATGAGCCTACGGGATGACACCTCTTTTGTCTTCACACTCACTGACAAGGACACTGGAGTCACACGTTATGGCATCTGTGTTAACTTCTACCGGTCCTTCCAAAAGCGAATGCCTAAGGAAAAGGGGGAAGGTGGGGCAGGGTCTCATGGGAAGGAAGGACCCCGTGCCACCCGCACCTCAGAAGAGGTTGGCACTGAGAACTCAGAGAGTGGCTCATCCTTGCAGCCTCCCAGTGCTGATTCCACCCCTGATGTGAACCAGTCTCCTCGGGGTAAATGCAGGGCCAAGTCAGGCAACCGATCCCGCAACAGTACTCTGACCTCCCTGTGTGTGCTGAGCCACTACCCCTTCTTCTCCACCTTCCGAGAATGTCTGTATACCCTCAAACGTCTGGTGGACTGCTGTAGTGAGCGACTGCTGGGCAAGAAACTGGGCATCCCTCGAGGCATACAGAGGTATGGCTTGCTGCATTTAGAAATGAGGTATAATTGGTCCAGGAAGAGAGCAGGAAATTTTCACTAAAGCCTGAGGTCCTCAGACCTACTGAAGTGTATTATGTTAGTCCTTACTAAGAAAAAGACTGCTTTAGAGTTGGACTTCATCCTATCATAACTGTGTTTGGACTGGTGCTGATGAGTTTGATATGTACAATAAGCCCTGTTATGTGCATGTTTTTACAGTTGTTCTCACCCTTATGTATACCTACGAGTTCTAACTGAGCCCAGTGGGCAGGCTTTTCCAATCGCCATCATTATGCCCTCTGTGGTCACACTGGGTTGCAGTGGAGTGTCAGCCCCTGGTGCTCATGTGTCTGCTTCCTGCTGTCTACTCCTTAGGGACACCATGTGGCGCATCTTTACTGGATCATTGCAGATGGAGGAGAAGTCGAGTGCCCTTCTGCAGGACCTTCGAGAGATCGAGGCCTGGATCTATCGATTGCTGCGCTCCCCAGTACCTGTCTCTGGGAAGAAGCGAGTAGACATTGAGGTCCTACCCCAGGAGCTCCAGCAAGCTCTGACCTTTGCTCTTCCGGACCCTTATCATAATGACTGAGTCCAGATTAGACTAACTGGGTCTGTTTTTCAGAAACAGAACCCCAGGGGTGAGGATGGTTTGTAGGGATGGGAGGTGAGCCATTATTTATCTTGTTTCTTGACATTTGACTCTGTGAGCTCATAAGCCCAGATCGAGCTCTTGGCTAGGAGAAGTGTCCCTTCTGTCTTTAGTACTAAAATGGAACACCTGACCAGTGCCCTAAGAGGGATGAATCCCTTTGGCACAGCAAAGGATCTTAGCAGTACTTTTTCCCTATTAGACTTGGATCTTCAGATAATACCAGAATTCATCCTGGGAACTTTGACTCCTTGCTTGGCGCCTTGAAGTTTCTGTGAGATGAACTGATGAATAGGAGCCATGGTACAGAAGAAGAAGTTCTGCCCCCGGGCACTGGATTACCTCGTGATCGTAGGGGCCAGGTAACCAGAGAGACTGGTTTTTTTTTGTCTTGTCATCTGGGACAGCCGCACAACTGTAATTATTCCTTTCTCCATTTCCACCTTGCTCTGTGTATCTCATGCTCCTGTTTTACCCTGATAGGAACCTTGATGCCACTGTTAGGTGGATAGGGAGTACTGGCTTGGAGGAACAGAGATAGAGCAAAACTCTACTCTTAACTGGCATCTTTGTGATCTTGAGCAGATATGCTCTATATATCCTGGTTTCCTTATTTGGTAAAAACAAGAAGTACATAGTGCTCCTTCTCTACCTACACATACTGTTTTGGTGATTCATTAGCTAATAGACCTTGAAAGGTGTTACTCATCTTGTTAGTGATAATTTTATTGTTGCACTTTCCCTTTCATTTCAGGATAGCTGTTGTCATGGCAGTGCAGACCTCAGTTAGCCTACCAGCTAAATGTCTCAAGCAGTACCCATGTTTTTCAAGGCCCTGACATTAGCTTACTTTATCCAGTGGCATTTTGAGCTTAATTTCTGGACTGTGGTTAAAATTTGAAAGAGCATCCTAGCCTCAGGTTGCTGAATTTGTCTTTGTATTCTTCAGGCACCCGAGCAGTGACAGTGTGGCCCAGACTCCTGAATTGCTACGGCGATACCCATTAGAGGATCATGCTGAGTTTCCCCTGCCCCCAGATGTAGTGTTCTTCTGCCAGCCCGAGGGCTGTCTGAGTGTGCGGCAGCGGCACATGAGCCTACGGGATGACACCTCTTTTGTCTTCACACTCACTGACAAGGACACTGGAGTCACACGTTATGGCATCTGTGTTAACTTCTACCGGTCCTTCCAAAAGCGAATGCCTAAGGAAAAGGGGGAAGGTGGGGCAGGGTCTCATGGGAAGGAAGGACCCCGTGCCACCCGCACCTCAGAAGAGGTTGGCACTGAGAACTCAGAGAGTGGCTCATCCTTGCAGCCTCCCAGTGCTGATTCCACCCCTGATGTGAACCAGTCTCCTCGGGGTAAATGCAGGGCCAAGTCAGGCAACCGATCCCGCAACAGTACTCTGACCTCCCTGTGTGTGCTGAGCCACTACCCCTTCTTCTCCACCTTCCGAGAATGTCTGTATACCCTCAAACGTCTGGTGGACTGCTGTAGTGAGCGACTGCTGGGCAAGAAACTGGGCATCCCTCGAGGCATACAGAGGTATGGCTTGCTGCATTTAGAAATGAGGTATAATTGGTCCAGGAAGAGAGCAGGAAATTTTCACTAAAGCCTGAGGTCCTCAGACCTACTGAAGTGTATTATGTTAGTCCTTACTAAGAAAAAGACTGCTTTAGAGTTGGACTTCATCCTATCATAACTGTGTTTGGACTGGTGCTGATGAGTTTGATATGTACAATAAGCCCTGTTATGTGCATGTTTTTACAGTTGTTCTCACCCTTATGTATACCTACGAGTTCTAACTGAGCCCAGTGGGCAGGCTTTTCCAATCGCCATCATTATGCCCTCTGTGGTCACACTGGGTTGCAGTGGAGTGTCAGCCCCTGGTGCTCATGTGTCTGCTTCCTGCTGTCTACTCCTTAGGGACACCATGTGGCGCATCTTTACTGGATCATTGCAGATGGAGGAGAAGTCGAGTGCCCTTCTGCAGGACCTTCGAGAGATCGAGGCCTGGATCTATCGATTGCTGCGCTCCCCAGTACCTGTCTCTGGGAAGAAGCGAGTAGACATTGAGGTCCTACCCCAGGAGCTCCAGCAAGCTCTGACCTTTGCTCTTCCGGACCCCTCTCGATTCACATTAGTGGATTTCCCTCTGCACCTTCCCTTGGAACTTCTGGGTGTGGATGCCTGTCTTCAGGTGCTAACCTGCATTCTGTTAGAGCACAAGGTGAGCTTTCTAGATGTCTCTAGGGAAAGGGCTTAAACTATGGCAGAAGCTAGACCATAAGCTCTTTAAGGACAAGTACTACATCTTTTTCATTGTTTTTTCTCCAGGAGGTAACACGATGTCAAGTATAGAGTAGGTACTCAGTAGTTATGGATTGATTGAAGGTACTGGTGTCAGCGAGACATGTTCAGAAGGTCCAAACTCAGTTGAATTATCCTTAACTGTACCTAATTCTCTGGAGAGATCAGTAGTTGTGTTCCGATGAGTGGTCCTCGGATTGGGAGTAGAAAAACTAGGAAGGCAAGGGAGTAATTTGAAGGAAAATTACTACAGTGCTTGGGTTGGGAGGTGGCGAGCAGGGTGGGGCAATGATAATTGTGGAAAATGCCGTAGGCATGATGAAATGGAAATTAAATTATCTCGTTGGAAGCTGTTTTCTTGTGAACTTTATTTATGCTGTTGAGTGATCCTTATGACATATGGCAGGTGGTGCTACAGTCTCGAGACTACAATGCACTGTCCATGTCTGTGATGGCATTTGTGGCAATGATCTACCCCCTGGAGTATATGTTTCCTGTAATCCCACTGCTGCCCACCTGCATGGCATCAGCAGAGCAGGTGGGTCTCCAGGTGTTTTCTGGCTTTGTCACGTCTATTTTCCAACTCTGTCCAGCTCCGAGGGAAAGCTTAATGCCCAAAGAAGTTGTAAATCAGTAGTGGTCCTTAATCCCATAGCATAACTTATTTGCCTGTAGAGTATGACCTTACTTAAACTGATCTTGTGGCAAAACCTATGCTATTTATGGTTTGTATTTATCACAGTTAATGATTAGAGGCTACTGGGTACACTGCTGCAGGTGTCAACGTAATGTACAGGATATGCACTACATATACATGTGTATATGCATATCTTATACATATGTGTGTATGTAACATATGAAACTTGGAAAAGGGGTTGTAGACCTGCATTTCTTTATCTAGAAAAATTCTGACTTGTTAAGTGATCACGGTAAGTTTAGTTTCTGTTTCTTAATCCTCTTTATCCTTTCTGCAGCTATTGTTGGCTCCAACCCCGTACATCATCGGGGTCCCTGCCAGCTTCTTCCTCTACAAACTGGACTTCAAAATACCTGATGATGTATGGCTGGTGGATCTGGACAGTAATCGGGTGAGGTTCTTGGCTGAGGCATTGTAGGGTCTGGAATGAGGACTGTGTTCTGTTTTTCTAGATTACTCCCAGACAGGTCTTAAATTGGTGGGTGATTTGTGTTGTGTAAGTCTGACACAATTTTTTTAAATGTTGCTTCTACTTTATTGGCTTAAGAGGATCTGGATTATGACTTGAAGAATTACAAGATTTAGTTTTGTCAGAATTCAGTGCTCCTCCATATCTGAGCAGTAGGGTACTTGTGGCTACAGGACCATTACATATGGTGTAGATCATCTAATGGTTTTCTTGGAGTATAGTTTCTAGTAAGAAACTGTCTTTTGATTAAGACTTTTTTACAATATGTATTAATATTCTTTATATTCAAACTTCAATAGAAAGGCCTTACATAAAACTTTAGAAAATACAAAAAAGTATAAAGAAGTAAATAAAAACTATAATCTCATTATCTAGAGATAGTCACCAATAACATTTAAGTTTCTTTCTTTTCAGGTGTGTGTGTGTGTGTGTGTCATGTATGTGTATATGCATATCTTATGTATGTGTGCGTATGTAATGCATGAGTTCACATATATATGATGATGCTGTCTATACAGCTTCCTATTTTGGTCCCTACCTCTATTTAAGAGAAACTCCTAAGCAGTTACTTCTAAGATCATGCCTTTTCTCTGTTTTCTGGTGCAGGTGATTGCCCCCACCAATGCAGAAGTGCTCCCTGTCCTGCCAGAACCGGAATCATTAGAGCTGAAAAAACATTTAAAGCAAGTAGGTGAAGACTGAACAAAAGGAAGGGGAGCAGTAGTTGCTTAGGGCCAATGTAGGCAGACAGCTGCTGTAAGAGCCAGTTTCCTCTGTTAGCCTTGGGTGGGCTTGAGAAGAGGTGTATCCCATTTCTGGGTGGCAGAGTGAATCTTAAAAAGGGCTTTTTGGGTTCCTTCTAACTCATTGTATGCCTTCCAACCCTCTAAAACTTATGTTGTGTAAAACTACCCTTCATTTTCTGTTTCTTGTCACAGCTGCCATTCTTCATGGCCTTGGAACATTTGCCCAGTCTTGTAAGAAAGGAGTTAATAGCTT